TGAATTCATAACATTAATATTAGTTACAACATTTATTGTAACCAATAAGTTCATAGGTTATAATCGACCCTGAGGCAGATCGATAATAACCAATGAACTTCCACTGAAAACAGACTCATGAAGTGTTAAACTAAGGCTGTGTTTATACTGAGACGCTGCGCAGACGTTTCCAGGCTATTAACAGAAACGACCTGGCTCCTAATGCAAATTTCTCAGCGTTCACATGAGGTTGAAAAACGATGTAGTTCTAGCGCCCGGCCAGTAGTGGGCAGAGAAACTTTACAACACTCACACGACCCCCAGCCCCGTGCCCAGCCCCCCTCCCAGCAGTATATTCACTTCTTGTACCAGACCCTCGGAACGCACTAACATCATTCTGCATTTTAACAGCCGCTGTGAAAATGGGAACTGAACCTAGAGCTTCGCGTGGTCTCGTTTGGACGAACGAAGGAGTAGAATTATCCTCTGTGCCGCGCTGGAAGCCCACAAAGCTAGTTAGTGCGCGCGGCGCCATTGTTGTTGATGTTTGTTCTCCGCTACTGCGCATTAGAGCTGCAACTAACAATTATTTTGTAATCGATTAATCTATCGATTATTTTTACGATTAATCGAGTAATCGCTTGGCTGTGAATTGTGTAGAAAATGTGTATTTTTTCATCACAAAAAGCTAAAGTGGCAACACTCGAGGACGTATTGATGGCGTAAACTTAAAGTAAATGTTTTTAACTGGCTCTTTGTGCTAATTCTGCTATCTGATTGGATGAGACAGACAGATATTCATGAAATTATAAAAACAAAGTCGGTTTTAATCAAAAATACTACATTTTCATGTCATTTTTGCTCTGTTTGAGTCCGTGTGAACCAGAAAACGATTAATCGATTACTAAAATAGTTGTCGACTATTTCAATAATCGATTAGTCGTTGATTAATCGATTAGTTGTTTCAGCCCTACTGCGCATGTCCAAATTTACGTGCGGGGAGCAGCACGGAGGTGGGGGTCAGAGCAGAGGGAGATTTCACACCTTTCTCCCTCTCGCGGGTGTGAAAGAGCCCCCGCTGTGCAGCGTTTGTGAGTTGTCCCACCCTGCAGGCTGGATCTGAACACTTAAGCCTAGCGTACATCGACAGAGAAAATGGGGACAACTAGTTGCAAGGCGGCTTTTGGCAACTGAGAGGAGATGGTGGGAGATGATCAGTTGCCGAAATCGGTCGATGTGAGCGCTCTTACAACTGGAGATGAACAGTCGGTCTCCAGTTTCAGTCAGTTGCCCGTGTTCTACTTTTCGGCAACTAGTTGTCCTCATCCATCCATCCATCCATTTTCTTCCCCTTAATCCATTTCTGGGTCGGGGGGGTGGCAGTCAGAGCTGCACCCAGTCACAGAGCACCGGCCCCTCACTGATCCTCCTGCAGGTGGTGAGTCCACAGGAGCTGAGATCTTTCAGTGGGGGCTTCAGGCAAAGTGGGGTTAAGTGTCTTGCCCAAGGACACAACGGCAGCAGTCATCAGTGGGAGTCGTGAAGTAGGTCTTATGGTGGGCTTGAACCCACGACCTTCAGGCTCAAAGGCCAATGCTCTACCAACTGAGCTACTGTCGCCCCTAGTTGTCCTCAGTTTCGGAGATATGACCCGATGTGCGCGCTCCATGCACCGCTCCGACAACGTGTGTGTATTGTGTGTATTGCGAGCCCGCAACAGTTTATGTCAGAAAACACACTGTAGTTGAGGCCAGTTGCTGTCGATGTACGCGCTGTTATTCCCGAGACTGGTCTGCCACTGGGAGTTGCCCGTTTTCGTCAGATTGTCGATGTGTGCGGGGCAGCAACTCATATGCGACGGATATAATCAGTTGCCAGTCCGATGTACGCTAAGCTTTACGTTTTCACCCCCCTGGAACACAGTCTTCGTATGAACGGTTGGTAGCAACCGACATCCAACTATACCGTTTTACTGCCACATTGTCTCCGTGTAAACTCAGCCTAATACACCATGCTCTGCTTCAGCGTGCTACATACGATTCAGGACACATTCAGGACACATTCAGGACACATTCAGGATGCACCCAGCGAAAGGGAAGGACCCTGTTCATGTGCCATGTGCTCCAGAAGCGCTGAGTGCCCAGATGTTGGAAGATTTATCTCAAACTTATTATTGCAGCTGCTCAGGTTACAGACAGACACCGTGGGCGCGCCTTAGTGGGCTGGGGGAGACACTAGCGGAGGACGACTGGAGCAAGAAAACAATTGCTCAGTATTTACAGTAGGTCCGAAAAGAGTTAAACCCTCGTCTTTGGTCTGCGTGTAGGCCTTGATTATCTGATGCTTTTTACTCGTTTCATATTATCCTTACTTAACATATTCTATGTATTTTATAAACTGTAAGTACAAAGGACTTCCCAAAAACTATAAAATTTAAGATTTTAATTATGAATTTACTGCATTAAAATTATGGCCATTAATTGTAAATATTTGGGTCTATTATTTATTGTAATAATTTCTTCCCAGATTCCTAATTATGCATATAGACAATTCCCGGCCCGACTACAACAGTTTCAAAATGTCACAAATTAAATGATCACTTGAATAATAAAATGAAATGAATAATGAAATTAAAATGTGTGTAAAGGGGACAGTGAAAGTGGGGCTTGTAGGAACAATGGCGCTTAAAAATCAGCACAATATAAATGATAATCCAACAGGGTCAAAACAGCAGGAAACAACAAAGTTAAAAGCGTGTAAAAGTGGATTTGCATAAGAGGTCACATTGAACGCTTTATGCAAAGTCACAACAGAGTCATAAAAGCATGTCATAAACCACTGATTGACAGATTTTTGGAATGCCAGGCCCCGGTTCTCGGTCAGGTGAAAGTGTCCAGAACATGTGGTGATAGGAGCAGTGTTACCTATGTCCCTGACCTGTCTGGGGAACAGCATATGGGACAGCAGCTCAGAGCAGCACGGATGACCCCATTTCACAGCCCCAAAAGCTCCACAGCACTCGGCCACATCCGCACACTGTAGTCTACTGTAGCCTGGGCTCAATTAAGTCATGAAAGAGCAATACCAAATTCTCTAGTTGAAAAGTCACCTTTAATTACTATATTGACAAAGAGCCCTTCATGATAAAAATGTTATTGATTGAGAACTGTATTGCAATTTCATAAAAAACGAATGATTGAAAAGTTTTTATTTTGAGTTTAATATACTGTACATAACTTAGATTTACAATATACATTTTTAAACAACTAACTAAGTATCAAATTGAAAAAGGAGTGAGAAGAGCATGTGCTAAGAAAAAAACCCGCTATATTAAGTCATTTTTAGCCATACCAAAATTCTATAGGTAAAAATGTATAATTTCAATAAAGACAATTGGTTAAAATCTTTCCAATTTTGCAAAGCAGGCTATAAATATTATATGATATGATTAAGGATAATGATTAATGATATATAAAATATATCATTTAATTAAGTCATTGATAAAGGCCTACTTATCGTGCAATAATACATGTTCTGTATGTATCTCCTGTATTTTTTCATATACATTTTTGCTATTTTCTTTGCAATAACATTACGTTTTAGCTGTAGTGGGTTGAACGATCCTTTTTTATGGAGAAATATTACTACATCCTACAGTTCTCAGCGCTGGCCTTTTAGTGAAATGGAGAAATCAAAGTATTACTTAACTGTTAACGCTGCAATAAATGTAATTGTTTGAGAATTTAACTTATTAAAAATCTTGAGGCAAAGCTATGAGAAACGTTCTACTCTGCACTCACTGATATCCAGTTAAATTGTTGACCACCGACTCCTCCACCTGAATGCGCCGACAGATCTGGACTGTTCCCTCGTCCATTTATGAACGCTAATGATAAAAGTCTATTATTACATGAAGGGATACAGTTTAACTGCACCTGGCGCTCTGCATATAGAAGCACTCTGCGTCTCTGCTGGCATTAGAAGCAGTGTGGTTCTCCCTCTCACTCAGGCTTGTGCGGAGGAGACCAGCTACATCCTTATTGCCATATATGATCAAAATAAGACAGCCGGGTAAAAGAAGGCAGGTCAGTAATAAACTCATCTAATCCTGGTTTGGAGCTACTGTTTAAACAAGAAAACAGATATTGAGCTGAAGCAAAGAAACAATATTTGTACTCTTTGTATTCATCAATCAATGTGTAAAATGGCAGGACTGGTGCCTGAGAAGTTCGAAAGAACATTTAGTTCTAATCTAGAATTCTCCAGTGTTTCTAATGCAATTCCATTAACTGTACACTTTAGCATTTTGAAGCACCACAGAGCACATAGGGACTGTTTACTGAAGTCACATAGAAGTCAACAAACAAAGTCAACTGGTTTTATAATCGAGACAACAGGTGAATGACTAGATTTGGTTCTTCTATACCAGATAGTAGAAATAAAAGTTTTTGGTTCTTCTCTAAGAAGAAGACACAATGAACCTTCCTAAACTATGTATGGAGTATTGAACCTAGTATCAAAACCAGACACAAGTTTGAGCAAATATCACTACTAAAAAAAGGACAAACGAGACTAAATGTAAAATGTATCTAACAAAAAGGACAGTGGTGATGATCCAGGACACTCAACATTCAAACATTTATGGACTTTGGTCTTCTGCCCCTTATGGACCAATGTGTTTTTATCGTTGCATTCTCTGATCTGTGTTGGTGAATAAACGGTTCTGTAAAGTCCAAGATAACTACTGTTGTGATTTAGGGCTATACAGAAATACATTGAATTGAAATGTCTTCTTAAAAATATACCATAAGAACACATGGCCCTATAAAAAATTGTCCAAACAGAGCATTTACAAATAGTTTCCTTGGTTTCAAACTTAATATAGAGTACCGAGACGTTATTCTAGTATCAACGTTTCACCAGAGCTCGTGCTTGAGTGGAGGGGATCGTCAGTGAGTGTGAAGTCAGATTTGCCCCGTCAGAATATCTGTGCAGTGCTTCCACATTGCTGACACAGAGCCTCATACTGCTCTGTAAATCATCCACTGCACAGGGCACAGGGCACTCCTCACGCTGCGCTGGACTAATGTGAGCCCACTTCCGGGGCTGATGTCACCACCTTGATCAATAGAACATGGGAAAGAACACTGTTGAAACGTATGCTGGAGCGCACAAGTATGGAGCCTCCGCAAACACCACCGGCCCCAGGACCGACTGCTCTGCCCGGTGACTAGGACAGAAACGATTCATCCAGTTAGCCTGTTACAAAAAGGCTTCAGTTGCAGTCGGTTTTATCTGTATGCCTGTCATAACTCATTTTCATAAATCTGCTTCTCTAAATTAGGGTGATAAACAATCCTATGGAAACTATGCCACAGAGCAGAAAAGTACCAGAGCATTATATTACCAGTATATTACCATCAAATATTTGATTGATGCATATCATTAAAAAGGATGAAAATGATCAGCAGAATGAAGTAATGTCTAGTCCTTTTGAGCACTCTAAAAGCTTTAAAACTTTGAGTTTTGCAGAGTAAAATTTAGGCCCCAAGTATTGAACAATAAGCTTATATAGTATTATCATATTCCTATGAAAAATGTCTATTTAAAATATGAATTATAATTTTCCTAGAAATGAATGAAATATGAAGTGACCAACTGTTTATAACCATTGATTAAATTGAGAAAACAATATTACTAAAAAAAAAAATAATGGTTAGCTGCAGCACTGTCTGAGCTATAGGACCACAATCCAATGAAGGCCATGACCTGTTGTGAGAGCACCATCGTGTTCTAGCGAAGGAGAGAGCCATTTTAGCTCTGAACAGTCAAATGTGACAGTCAAATGCAAATAACATTCACCCACAAACACATTTGTGGTCAGGCTCAGCAGAGACACCACTATTGCGTAACCACAGACCTACTACAAAGATACGTCTCCTGCACCAAACACAAGTGAATGAAGCCAGCGCCTCCTTCTCCTCATGGGCTTTCGTATGTGCCTCGGCAGCGTCTTAACCCTGGGCACAAGGGCAGACATGAGCCGTGTTTTGACCAAGTAGAGGCAAAGCAGTGATGTGTGGAGAGGAAGTGGTGTGCCTGGCTCTGCATGGCCTGATATGGCCTCTGTGACGGACAGCGGCTCCTCGGCCTCCACTGCACACTGGTACTTTTGGCTTCTCTGGTGCACTGTGCAGTTTAATTTAGTAATCGATTAACATTTTTTGGACCACATGCTTTTATGGCTCAGACACTTCTACAGTGAAATTGCAGTTACAAAGTATTCAGCCAAATGTGTCACTTGAGCTTTGTTTTGGTCAAATGCATTTTACAAAATCCCATATTCATTAACCTTTCAGGATCCAAACAACAAATTAATCAAAACAAAAGGAAAATAACGGTTAATGACAGCCTGAGGGCGGTTGGACCATCATTCTCTCCATTATGATCAATAATTATCCAAATTAATATTTACAATTCAAATAGCAAACAATGGCAAGCCACCTGATGAAACTGATACAAGCACAAAACTCTGCAGCCTTTAATAACAAAGCCACATAATTCTCATTGTAGTTTATTCTAAAGAAAATCCAACAAGTGGAAATAAAAGTAATCTTCTCACATCCTTTTGACCAATCACGTGATATTGGATCATTTCCAAAGACACACCAAACAACACCTCAAAGCACACGGACCTGCCCTGGCCCACTGGTTGAAAAACTGCCACAGCTAAACAGTGGACAGTATACTGAGCTGGAATGTTACATCATTGTGACTGTTCAAATACGACCCATTTGACATTTTTTATGATCCAGAAGAAGACATTAGAGCTTGCATAACAGTTGAACTAGTCTACCCAGTTCCGACAGTAGTTTATCAGCTGTCATGATGTCACTTCTTGATCTGGTGCAAGCTGGAAGAATGACATCACTGTTTACTCGGGTCAAGTATTTTTTCCCCTAAAAGTGTCCACCGCTAAACACAATGATTGCTCTGTGAGAGGCCATCTACACCCTGACATGGTAGCTTTCCATCCATCACTTTTTAATACATTGTTTTACAGTAAGCTGGGTTCATAGCAGCATATGATTTCACATTTACTCAGAAACCAGGAGGTAACCGCTTCAAACCTTGTCTAAAAATATTGCAATACGACTAGTGGACAATATGCTCCAGAAGCCAGTTACAAGTATTCCCTACAGGGGGGATCGGGTGCATTTGAGGCCGTTCTTCCCCCATGAATGAAGAGACGTGACAGAAAAAAACCCACATAAAAAACAATTTTTTTACGGACCGGTTAAGCAGTAATACACCCATTTGCCAATTCTTTCCCAGTATAATCATTCAGGGCCAACACACACATTTTGAATACTTCTTTTGATTAAATCGATTTGATGTTCATAATACAAGTTCAAGATTTGATACAGAAAAGGCAGAGGGAATGTTTTAATTTATTCCGTTTGTGTCTGACAGTCACATCTCCACACCTATACATCGAGTGTGTATGCAGAGCAGAGCAGTCGATTTCTAAAGTACTTTACGATTAACAAAACTCATTAACAATCTCCATTTGTTGCTATTGATTGAGTGTTGCAGCCCAATGAGCAACATTTGCACTTTTAAATATCGGCTTCGGTCTTAAATATCCAGTAGAGGCAGATTTTTTTTTTTTTTATCTTGAGCATTTCAGCTGCAGAAAGAAAACATAAAGCAGTCTTTGTGTCCATAGAAGCTATGCACAAAATTGGACTACAGTATTCTCTTATTGAATTTGTAGAACAACAGCGATGTTTGGACCTAAAAACTTTGACGTGATATAAGAAAAACAGCCCTGTATACTGGCCGTGCAAAAGGTATATTTCACAAATGTGGTTTTGCAGTATTGATATTGGAGTGGCTGGATCAATATGGTGGATCTTCAAACATTATTTTACCTTGGAAAGATAAATATGATCATACTTAATATATACACTGTGCCTATGTATATAGAAAACCTGCCGGGTTAAACAAAGAATAGCTAAAAAGTTGTACGTTCTTTAAAAAATGTCAATATAAAAATATTCCCATACCCTTAACCCTAAGGCATATGCTGATTATCTCAAAATCTTTAAAGAAAAACATACTGGTTAATCGAATACCTGACCAGATCAATAAAAGGATATGTCTGTATATGCCATCACTGAAACCTTGGGCATACAATATGAGAAGAATAACAATGTATGTAACAAGTGGGCGTGTACCAGTAGACATAAAAATGGCCTCTTGAATACAGCAGGAGAATGAAGATTACCCAAACACACACATCACTCAAAATCAACCCTGTAATGACCATGGAATACACATTTAATCACATAATCAGGAGCTCCTAAAAAAAATGTCTAATTTGCAGCATGGGGAGGTGAAAAAAGTCAAATCTACCAGAGGAGACATCTCATTTCCAATAACTCAAGAAGTGGCCTCATTCTCCCAGTTGAGGTATTCACAGGGGGAATAAGAAAGACACATATGTCAAATACTGGGCTGTTTTTGGAAAGCAGGAAATGGGAGCAAGAGCCTTTTACAGCGCCACACTCAACCTAGATTAAACTAATTGTCCTGCAGACAGAGTGACAGCAAGTTGCAACCCCTGATTAACATACATGTTAAAAGCAGGAAACATTTAGGGGTCTTTACCAGAATTCCACCCACCATAAAGGCAACCATTACATATCCTTAACGTTATTGGATGTCAAAATGCATAATACTTGTGATTCCACACTTGTGATTTCTGCGTAATAATCAAACAATAGCATTAAAAAATACATGTAGGAAACGATCCAACTAGCCAAGATGTCTAGTCAATAATAATTAGAAATGGCCTTTGACTAGCATGCATGTAGCTTGGAAAAGCAAAAGCAAAAGCAAGCCAAAAGAGATGTCTTGTATATGCCATGCACACACACATACGTGCTTCTCTGCGTATATTTCTTTAGAATATGAAAGAAAACAGCGCGTTATAATGGTTATACAACAAACAGGTTGGACACGCAGCTTTTGCACGGCCGTTCCCAAACCACGCGTAAAGCTAGCGATAGTTAGCCAGTGCTGCAAAAGGCCGAGGGAAGGAAGGGATGGCAGTGATCCTATAAAAAAACCAGACAAAACATCAAAAAGACACGGTTTGGAGCATGCACACGTACCGAGCAGCAGTAATTTGAGCTCCCGCCTGGAATCCCTCTTGTCCCGCCGTAGCTGTTTGTCAATTTCTGCATTGATTCGTTTGGACTCCTTCGCCTCCTCGCTCAGGCAACACGCCATCATGGACTCCAGAGTCATCCTCCGATCGCCCAGCCCCGGTGTAGCACGGGACCCCCCCTACGAAACGGAACCCTGAAAACCACCGCTAATACCACCACCACCCGCCACCCACCACCACCGCAACCGCAGCAGCAGCAGCTATAGGGCCGTGCGATCGCTGCCTCTCCCCCGCCTGCCTGCCTACCACCGCCCGGGTCTTCGCCTAGAGTCCTGCGCAGCGAGATCGCGGTCTGACAGGCAGAACGGGTGCATCTGGGGAAGGGGGGGAGGAAAAAGGGAGAGTTCTTGAAGAAAAAAAAAAGATGGGGGCCTGCTTGGTGGTTGTCAAGCTGCTGCTGTTGCCTGCTGCCCCCCTCCCATGTCGGCCAGAAGAACAACTGCGCGACCCGAGAGCGAGGCGGTATGAGCGGTATGAGTCGGGGCTGTGTTCTCGCCAAATCACGGGAGATCGGGCCGTGGGGGAGGGGTGTATGGATGTGGGGGGGTCGCTACCGCTCCTGCTCCTGCTCCAGCTCCAGCATTCCTCCTCTACCCTCCCGTTTTTGGAAGATCTTATTATGCGTAAATGCGATGCAATATTATTGTCCGCGTCTGTAATGACTCATTGGCAAGGCAAGGCAAGGCAAGTTTATTTATATAGCACAATTCATACACAAGGCAATTCAAAGTGCTGAACAAAACAAGAAAGCATTAAAATCATAAATTATCACAGAACATTAAAAAGAAAGATAAAAATATAAAATCCCTCAGTTGTATGCACAGTTAAACAGAACCGTCTTTAACCTGGTTTTAAACATTGTCAGAGAGGAGGCCTGTCTCACATCTTCAGGAAGACTGTTCCAGATTTTAGCAGCATTAATCTGAAAAGCAGCCTCCCCATGTTTAGTTCTGACTCTGGGCACTAACAGGAGTCCAGTCCCTGTGCTCCTCAGAGTCCGGGCTGGTTCATATGGGACTAACATGTCACTAATATATTTTGGTGCGAGGCTATGGAGAGACTTGTACACAAGCAGAGCTGTTTTAAAGTCTATTCTCTGAGCCACAGGAAGCCAGTGCAGAGACCTGAGGACTGGACTAATGTGGTCGTACTTCCTGGTTCTTGTCAGGACTCGAGCTGCTGCATTTTGAATGTACTGGTGTTTTACAGCCTGTTTGGACAGACCTGTGAGCAGGCCATTGCAGTAGTCTAACCTACTGGAGACAAATGCTGGATAAGAATCTCCAAGTCTGCTTTTATTGTTTTTGATCCTGGCAATGTTTTTTAGATGGTAAAAAGCTGCTGATGTTACTGATTTGATGTGGCTTTTAAAATTTAAGTCTGAGTCCAGTATTACCCCTAGACCTTGTTTGAAGGTTTTAGGGAGAGAGACTGTAGGTGACAGATGACCACCAAAGACAATCATTTCAGTTTTGCAGCTGAAGGAAGTTGTTTTGCATCCACTCACTGATCTGTTGGATACTGGTCCATGTTCAGTCAGTGCATAGATCTGAGTGTCGTCTGCATAGTTATGATAGGAAACCATTGTTTCTGCGTATTAACTGACTTGTAGAGATTGAACAGAAGAGGTCCCAGGATCGACCCCCTGTGGGACTTCAGGGCCATATGATCTGAGACACAGTTTCAATCTCCACAAAGTACTTCCTGTCTGCCTATATTGCCTATATACTTTATTATTATTATTATTATTTAGAAGCAGCTCATGCAAAAGCAACAGATTGGCTTTTGACTCCGTCAGGTCTGCAGAATCCCCAAGTGGCTGTAATTGTAAAAACTTAGAAGTTATGACTGCAGATGGCGTTTCCACAGAGCTGACTCGTACATGGACTGCTCCTTGTTTCTATGGTAGAGTTGTTCATATCATCATCCACAGTGTTGCATAATACATACATGAGTGGGCCTTTGTATAATGATGCATCACCTACAAAGTTACACACTGGAACTTTAACACAGATATAAACATGCCATTAATATTATTTGAATATTTCTCTTTATTTAAAGTGGTTTACTATTCTTTTTGCCTTTATCAGTAAATTTAAATGGCTACGATTCCCATCACACAGTTAAGAGTAGGTGTAGGTATGTAGTTTTCCTCCGGGTGCTACGGTTTCCCCTACCACTAAATCATGCAGGTTTTTAGTGGTAGGGGAAATCCTCGACCACTAGGTAAATCCTCGAACTCCGGTCCTGACCAAGCTGGGCATCAACATCGAGATGGGCCCCCAGTACTGTGGCGACCACTGCTCCTGACAGAGGCCCTATAGTAGCCTTGCAGGATGGGTAATGCAGTGGACAAAGTTAACCATGGGGATAAAAAAAGTGTTAATTTCATTTCAAAACTATATGAAAGTGGATACAACTGATTTTATTTCAGCTCTAGTTTTATAATTTTATCCATCAGCAAAAATCACAGCAAAAATCTGACCCATTCAAATGGGTTACACATAGACCTCTACAGGATACAAAGAAACACTTTTTCATGCACAATAAAAGGTGACCTCTTGTAATCGGTGGGTATCAATAATCAATAGGTGCCAAGTCTGCAATAGAGCCATGGACTGCACTACTCAATGAATAGACCATAAAAACAAGAAATATTTGTGTTAGGGTCAGGCTCACTGTGGGTGTAGCTATTGAATGTAATGTAAAATCTTGTTTTTAAAAGATGGGATTGCACTTATGGAAATGTTACTACCAGGCTGTGTATTTGGTTCCATTTCATTTTTGATTCTTCCATTTCTAACCAAGTCTCTGAATAGCAGAAAACACTAAGTTTATATCCACCCTATAACTTGGCCCCAGTAATACCAGCTTCAAAGTGATAAAAGTTTAATGGTGTCTTTTTTCAGCATGTTGGGGAACCCTATCTGGACAAAGGGTTGAGACATTTGCCTGCACTGATTGACAGACGCTGCCCGAAAAAGTCAAACTATGAATGATTTAGTTTACTCCACTCTTTGTGGTTTTATGAACTGGCCGATTCAATGATGCATCCCAGGCCTTCAAACCGACCACATCATGAATAAAAATAAGTAAAAACGGACACAGGCACAATTTGTTCAGATGAGAAAATGTGTGAAAGAATTATCACAGCCATCTTCAGAGCAGCTCAGAGCTTTCTGCGGCCAAGACCGGAGTAGCCAGAAGCAAGCGTGGATAGTGACACACATGGCAGCACACCAACTGCTAACAAACAAAGTGAATTTTGTATCAATTAGATCAAGGAGATGAGGGTTATGTGCCCTATTTATAAGATTGTATCAGAACTAGCGACATCTGGTGGTGATATGGGAGTAATGGCACCTTCAGTTGATTCATAAGAACATTGTCCTATTTTTACACATTTAATACAAGAGACAAGAATTTATTTGTCATATGCAGTAAACATTGGAGAAACTGTGCTAGACTACCCCAGTGTGCACCAGACAGAGAAGACGGCACACACCACAGCTCTTGCCACTAATATTAGACTGGTAAAGATGTTAATTTTTTTAGTATAGCATGTATGGCAAAATATAAGCCAGGTTAACTTTTTATGATGCATAAATAATGTTTGTCCCAGCAGTAAAATATTATAAACAAATCAGACCACAACATGCTCCCTTCATCTTATTGAGCTAATTTGTTGAGAGTGGTCAATTTTTTAGCCCAAAATACATGCATGTGAAAACGAGAGAAAATTTCTAAATTCTTGGAAAAAAGAATGAGTCGTATGGATTTTGTTGAATTTTTTTATTTTTTTTTCAAACCTTAAACGAGCCTGCCCCTACTTAAGCCTCATTGGACCCTTTTGGCCCAGCTTCTCAGTTGTAAAGTCCTCCATGATGACTGGGTTGTGATTTAAGGCTATACCCAAATACATTGAGTTGATTTGAATCCACTTGTCTACCACACCTACCCACCAAGTGTCCAATCACAGTGGAGCCTGGGTTCATCCCTCCTCCTCCTCTGAACCTTCTGAGTGACATCTTCTCAGACCCTTTGCTGCTACAGTCCTAGTTATATCCCACGACCCTCCAAATGATTAGTGTTCGTGTCGGGGTCTATCTATGCCTGTCAAGTCTGTTCAGCTCCCATTGCCCATTAAAACACATTATACAATGATGATGTTAAAAGAAAGGCCGAAGAAATTGATGGCTTCTAAGTAAAAAGCTAATTAATACATTGAAAAATATGTTTTTTTCATGAAAAAAAATCACTAACACAAATACATGGAATGAAAAGATTTTATTATATTAAAAATGTCCGGAAAAATGGTGTTCATGTAGCAATTCAGCTAAAGGTTTGTGTACAGATTCAAATTGAAGTTGAATTACAGAAATAAATGTATGCCAAGCCTTTGTTTGTTATATTATTTCTTAGCTGTGGGGCGATTCCACCTCCAGACCTTTCTGTGTGGAGTTTGCATGTTCTCCCCATGTCTGTGTAGGTTTTCTCTGGGTGCTCCGGTTTCCACTACCACTAAGAATAAGTACAATAGGTCTGGCATGCACCTCCCGTTCGGCGACCTCGCTCCAATCTCTGAAGTGAGAGACAAATGCCCACAACAATTGTAAAGCGCTTTGTGACTCTAGCTTATGAAAGGCACAATTTAAATAAATATGACTTACTTACCTAGTTATCCCTTTAACAAACAAAGGCTTGCTATGTCTCACATGTATTGAAGTTGAAATACAGATGTAAAAATATTCAAATTTGCATGTGTCACAAAAAAAACAAAAAACTATCTCAGTGATCCCAAATCTGAAATTCAGGGACCCACAGAAGCCAAAAAATTATCTGACCTATAATCAAACATCGCTATTCAAAACGATTATTGTCCACAACGCTCTCTCTCACACAAGCCCCCTCTGTCCGTCGGCCCCTCACTGCTCCTGCTGTTCAAAGTAATCACAGAAGACCCTCCTGACCTCCTCGGCCTGGGCGTGGTCCGGAGCGGCGGAGGCGTGGGGCCTGTGCTGCGGCTGTGGGTACTCCGCCTCGGCCACCTCCTCGCTCCACTCCTCCTGGAAGGTGTCGCGGTGGGTCTCGCAGATGTTGTGCAGGATGCAGCAGGCCAGCACCATGGTGGGCAGCACGTCCAGGGCGCAGTCGTTCCTCTTGCTCAGACACTGCCAGCGGGCCCTCAGCCTCAGCATCGCCTCCCCGGCAACCAGCTGGGCCTTCCGCATGTGCATGTTGAAGGCGCGCTGGCCCTGGTCGAGAGCAGGAGCCTGGGATCGCCTCCTCTTCTGCTTGGTAAAGGGAGTGAGGAGCCAGCTCTGCAGAGGGTAGCAGGGGTCCCCTACAAAGACGTATCTGGAGAAAAAACATGACGTGGTACGGCGCGTGGTAAGAAAAGTTACCTTCAAACTGGAAAGTTAAATACGGCTTGATTTTGTTTGACCACACATACTTTATTATTAGTGTATAAGCCCAGAGACCTGCACGGTAAGCAGGTTCTCAGAAAGGCCCATTCTATCATTGTTTTTTGGACCACACCCTGAGGGAGCAGTTTAAACTTTTACCCTCAGGATGACGCTATAGGGCTCTTGGGTGAAGGACAAAAAGGTTGGGAACATTCATCCCAACAGCTGTTAAGCACCTTAACAACACATAGCACTTTATACAAACTATTGCACTTTACAGCATATGCACTGAAACTAGATTTGTGACATACTCTCTTGTTCTTGTTATCTTCAAATTGACTGTGTCTGCCAATTTTTAGATGACTGTTTGCTGATAAACATATTTCCCCTTGTGGGACAATAAAGACAACATTGAACTTTGATAAGTTACAGTTGTGTTTGAAAGTGTACACACCCAAGCAGAAATGTCCATTGTTTGGCCATATTTGGAATAATGACAGAACAGGCACTGTTAGCGGTTGTGTGAAGCCATATATGGTAAAAGAAACGTGTTTACCTATGTACATATTCAAACTACAACATCTCAAAACATAAAGTTCATGCAAGGAAGCCCAGGAATGTGTAAGGACTAGAGGCCTCATACGCAACTATCACAAAAGACTCCAATCTGTCATAAATGATAAAGGGGCAATACACGCTATTGAGAACTAAGGGATGGAAACGACGAATCAGGGTTGCTTCAGTATTTCTGTTGTTAATTGTTGTCATTTTAAAATAGAACATATATTTGTCAATAGAATACTTCAGACAACCAGTAATTATTATTCATAATCTGGAATCTGAAGAAAAAACAAAAACAAATTCTATTTCTGCCAGGGGGTGTAAACTTTCAAGCACCACTCTATTTTAAGGTCACTACTAACTTTATTATTTTTACAATAAGCACCAACTATTGTAGTAATTGATTAATCATTGACTGCTCTTCATATAAAACGTCACCACATTTATTTCTTTTAAATTATTGAAAAACACTGAGTGGATGTAAAACTGTACTTTAGTTGTGTTCCCATAAAGGTAGGTGTAGATCTGGGAGAGTAGCCGCCCTGCTCTGCCGTGGCCCACAGAGAGGAGTTCTGGAGGATTTCCACCGGGTCAGTCCCACCGGGGAAACTGGCACACACGTCCCAGAAGTGCCCCCGGCCGCTCACCGCCACCTGGGCAGACAGGAGAGCCATGTGAGGTCTGGATTCTGGAACTACAACACAGACACTACTCACCCAGCATGGACAGAGGCGGGGCTACAGAGCAGACAGGCAGGGCAATACTTGGGCCCCCACAGAAATATTATGATCCATAGCAAGTTGGGCTGCACAATTTATCGGGAAAAAAATCTGTTTTCTTCATGCCCAAACTTTGCTATTTGCTGATAGAATATTTTTGGTTCATTGGTTGGAAATAGCAGAACACAACTTTGAAGAGAAGAAATTAGCAAAGAGGAGAGCAACAAATATACAAACACAGCAGTTCCAACATGTACAGTACATTAATTTCTTGTAAATATCGGAATATACATGTTGTACTTGCATTCCTTAATAAAAAATATCAAACATCGCTTTAACTTGATCCACTACAGTTTAGCTGATGAAAGGCTTGCTACACCACTGGACTCTAAATACCTGTGAAAGCACGGAGAGCCAGCCTTCGGGATTAGCATAGTCCGAAGAGTTTTGCGATGGACTGATGATGGAGATGTGGAGTGGGGCCAGGGCAGCCACGCAGTGCGGGAACCCCCTTTTGGATAAGAACATCTGGGCGGACTCTTCCAACTCCTGTTCGTTGGGAGCGTGCATGTACTCCGCACTGAGCAGCGTTACTATGGAATGGCACATGTCTCTCACACACTTGCACACGGTCGACTTGCCCACCCCAAACAGGTTGCTGATGATGCGGTACTCGACGTTTGTGGCTAGTCTCCACAGAGCGACAGCCACGCGCTTCTCCACAGGCAAAGCTTGGCGAAACGAGGTGTTTTGCCGGGTCAGACGCGGGCGCAGCTTGTCGCATAGGTAGAAGAATGTCTCTCGGCTCATCCGGAATTTATCTAGCCAATCAGCAGGCTGGAACTCAGTCAGGACGACTCGCTCCCACCAATCAGTTTGTGGAGTGGTGGACCAGGGGCGGGTGCGGAGTCGGAGGCTGGAGCGGATGCCTCCTGCCAACATCATCTGTAAACACAAAAAGGCAGGAGAATGGTCTAAACACAAGATGCATGATTTATGTTGACACGTGCTAAAGCTGGAATAAATGGCTTTTGTTTGTTTCATAAATGCACTTGTCAAACTGCAACGTGCTGTATCTTATGTTATCTTTCACATACTGCAAGCTGCGTCAGCCTGATACTTGCCTTTTCACTAAAAAAGCAGATCAAAAGATGTGAAGCCAAAAATACATGCATATGAAAACTACAGATCGAATCAAAGAGCATTGAGAGCAAAGATTTGGATTTTATTACATAGTTAATTTATTTGACTTGACTTGTTAAAACAAACATGTTCATACAATCATTTATGGGCAGGAAAGTTTTTATGTGCCTGAGCATATGCATCATCCATGTGTTATTCGACAGTGATCTACCTTAAATATATGTGTTGCTTTCAAATTATATGTGAACTTACACTTCCCCACACATACCATGAGCATCCTCCTCTGTCGCTGCAGAAAGTAGTGTCTCTGTCGGATGCGCCTCTGCTCCTCAGCGCGCCTCTGGCTCCGGGCGCTGGACACGTCTCTGCGCCTCTGGAGCAGTGCGTGCGTCAGAAGGAACAGGGCCGAGCGCAGGTCCCCGTCCTGCATCCTGCTGCACCTCTGCGGGACTTTAACCCTGTTACTTTCACATGACAGGAGATACACGCTCTGGTGTTGTGATCATGTGCATCATCTCAACATGAGACTGTAAACACAGACATGTAGAGGATACTTCCGCCTTCTCAGTCAGGATAATGCTGCCATCTAGAGGCTGGGAATAGACATGTTCAACAATTCTACCCAACATGAAAAAGTAAATATGAAATAAATATTGAAATTGTGTTTCATATTGTATTTATTAAAAAGGAAAACATCTCCTTAAATACATTCATGTGGTTCATTACAAACATCTCTGTGCATCTTCAACCAACTTCATCCACTTTACTGACTAAAACTGTTGCATGGGAAACAGCGTGTATTGACAATATCTTCACATTCAAGTATTTGCACATTCTGATGTGTTCTTTTGACTGTATACTTACATCTCTCTCACTGACCACTAGTCATACAATCTGACTATCCCATGGAAAAAAATGTGGATAACAAGAACAACTTTTTTGGCTGGGAATGAATTGATTATATATGAGAAGTGGGTTGTGACTGATAGTTGACAATGTTAACTCCCTATGACAAAACTTTGACTCTTGTTATAAACACCTCTGCAGCTGCATTCTCAAACTCCTTGGCGTCCATACTTCCTCCAGGGCCTCTCGTCTGTGCTTTGGCCATGGCCTGAGCTAACATATCCGGAGACAGCTTGGCACTAGCCTCCAGGTAACGGATAGCTTTTACATTAGATTCTAGGCACGAGTGGGTTTGAGTGTTTGCATTCACAGCGCAGTTCCCACCACTTCCTTGCGACGTCTCCAAGGCTTCTTTCAGAGTTCCTATCACGGCCATGCCCAGTGCCCGGGAAACAGGCTCCTCGTCCTGGCAGCACACGTCAGCGTACAGCCTCTGAGCTTGGCGGATGAAGTCGGAAAACACGGCGCAGGTGAGCACCCCGTGGCGGAATACGTCATAGGGCACTGCTTCATGGTCCTGGCAGTGGAGGCGGCGAAGGAGAGGGGCGGAGGTGGATGCTGGGACCCCGCCTTCGCTACACAGGCATTGGAGGGTTTGGGAGTACAGGCCCCCGCGGACACCTCCTCCATATCCAGCTTCGTCTCTGGGTGATGCTGCGTGGACCTGGTCGGTGTCGTTGGTGGGGGGGTCAGTCACACGGAGCAGAGGTGACAGCTCGTTCAGGAGGTCGTACGCCACACGGACGTTGTTGCTGAACGCTGATCTGTGGGGATAAATACTCAACATATTCATGAAATATCAATGAAAGCACCTCTCCATGTGTTTTGCATTCACACTGTATCTAGACCAATCCACGTTATTTGTGGATTTGAAAACACCAAACAATCAAACATGTGTCTAATTCAGTTTACATATTTTGAAAACGATTTTTGAAGATTTTTCCCCCAATTGAACCAGACCAACATGGCCACAGTGCATCGGGACATCAGTGAGATATGAAGGAAGTATTTGTGATACTCATTTTTGGGGCTGGGGTTGAACATATTGTTTTGTTGTGTTTTGTCCTTTGTCCTGTTGTCCTTTATTTCTTGTGTTCGCCATTAATGTGTTCATTACGCATTGTACCTGTATAAACTTTCCCTGTTTAAAGTTAAAGCAAATAATTAAAGCTGAGGTACCTGACTTTCAAACTGAAAGATTTAAACTAGTGAGATGTGATAAAAATCCATCTCACTAGTTCCTCACTCTGAAAACAGTTATCTTTTATGACTAGTCTTCACCCGCAGGCTTTGGCCTCTGTTATATCTTTAGATCAGCTCAGAACAAAGAGAGGACCACCCGATCAGCCAATCAGCCCTAGGCACAAAGCAAAGAGTGACACAACGGTCTGCTCACAACGTGGCTCTGTTATATGTCTGCAAATGAATACTTACGTACCCCAGCTTTAATAAGCCAATAGAATGACAGAACATGGGCTACGTCTGCAAATCAACAGTAGAGATGGGTCCAAAAACAGTAACTTTGTTTTGTCCCAGTCCTACAAGCATCTCCCCCTCCCCTCCTCTCTGCGTCCACCCCCGGGTACCTGTGCGAGTGGTGCGCCAGACGCAAGTGCCAGAGAGCGCGGTTGAGCCTCTGCTGCTCCTGCGCACGTCCAGCCACTGTCCCGTTGTTCCCCTCGTCCCCGTCACCGGTCCCAGTCCCAGGATCGCTCTCAGAGGCCAAGTTGCAGAAGTGGTCCGCTAAGAAGCCGATGGGGTCTTCCGATCTGGCCTCCACCATCTTGAGGATCGCGCCCCGCAGCAGCTCGCTCACTCCGGCTTGTGTGAGAAAGTCTCGGTCGCTGTCGCTGCGGGCGGCCCTGCTGTCGGCCTCGGGGACGGGAGGAGGCAGGACCGCGGACCGACGCTTCTCCTTCTCTGCCATCTCTGTTGACGTCTTGTGTCGCAGCAACCGGGCGGAAGTGGCGGCTGCTGATGCTGCAGTGGCGTCTGACCGTGACGTGCCCGTGCAAGGGAGAGGGCTGCATCGGGCTATCATCCTGCGTGTGCCTATCATTACATCTAAAGCCTGCACTACAAAATAATGTCACTTTTTTGTTCTATTTTTATTTAACGATTATTTAACCGGGAAAGTCCCATTGAGATTAATAACCTATTTTTCAAGGGAGTCCTGGACAAAAGTTACATACAATTAGAGATGATAAAAACAGTTACACACAATTTCATGAAATTACAGATTATAAAAACAGTTACACGTGAATGAGGATGTCTCAAGTGCGCTCAACCTGGATTTAAAAGCATTCGATGACATAAATTCAGATAATTTCCAGTCTTTTTCCAACACGTTCCATGCAGAAGGAGCAACACATACAAAAGCTTCTGTGCGTGCAAAAGGAAGAGAGAGCAATGAAAGATCAAATATAAAATGTCTTCTGCTAATAACCCACTATGAGAATATGCAGATGTATGTAATGTACTAGCCCACTTTCTTTGCAGTATATGTATTTAAATTGTTATTCTAAATTTGGAGAAAGGCCACACCAATTACCCTGTGTCTGTAATTGCTTGAGAGCATATAGAAGAATGTTCACACTTGTTGGTCTGGTTCACTTTAACTGGACCAATTCTGGTTCACCTGGGGCAAAAATGCAATATTTGTAAAACTACCAAACCAGTGAACATGTCTCCACTGGTTTCTCAGTGAAATTTGTGGAACTTTAGACCACCAACATGAAGTTAAAGACTAATATGGGACAGAAATGTCTTACACTGCATTCCCCATAAGTACTGAACCAGTATAATAATAACTTTAAATCCTTTAGTAAATGTATAATTTATGTGTTCATTTGAATGAATTTTGTTTCACATGTATAAAAAAAAAAAAAAAAATGTGGGGTGGTGACGGCGAGAGGCAATACTGCAGATTGTACAGTATTTCATTTAAAAAAATGAGAAATGTCATTTGGTTTGCTCAGTTTATAAACACATGGTTTGAGAAAAGGGGAAGGCAACATTAGTAATGCTTCAGCCTATTCTCTTTTCGGTCTTATTCTTAGAATAATAGGAATTGTTCATCTCTTTCTTCTTCTTCATTGTTATTTATTGTTGTTGTAATGAGCGAAATAAATAAATAAATACTAAATACATGTCTGCTTTTACTGTGAATGAATGTGTTCCACTGTAAAAAGACGAAAATGCTAAATCAAGGAGTGTTTAATTACAAATTCAGACATTCCATCACAGGACAGCTGTAGTTGTATTTGCACAAACAATATGATCCAATAATACCCTATAAAGGAAAAGACAGCCCTGCATTCTCCTTTAGCTGGTGACAAAGATGTATGGCTCTTTTATCTCACAGAATCAAACTACAAATTCCACCGTGTCACATAAGAAAAAGTGCAGTAACAGCATCAACCCCAGAATGTTCTGCCATTGTTTCACTGGAGGTTTGCACAAAACACAAACACGGCAAAATATATTTCTGTCCAAATCTAAAATGAAACACGACTTTTACAATTTCTTTTCCAAAAGAGATGCTGCATACAGGCTTTAGTAGTGATACATCTCCCAAATATAGAGAACGAAGTTCAAATCTAACACTACCATAATTGACAATACTTCACATATTACTAAATTTCAAATAATTGAAGTCTTGTCACACAAATGAAAAGGAGCAGAAAGAAGAAGTCTGCCGCTTTCCAAAAACATTTACAAATTATTAAAAAAAAAAAAAAAACATATATGTTGGGATTTTCCCTTTCTCCGTACCAAGCATTTGCCTCTTGGAAAATATTTGTTTCACTTACCACCCAACCCCCCCCATTTCACCAGGTCGTATTGTTACTTGCCATTTTCCACATCAAAAAGACAAAATGTAGAATAATCATCTATGTGTGATATAAATGGTATGGTATGTATGGTGCTCCAAAGAGCACCATACATCTCCTCTAAAGCTATTTTCCTCATTTTAACAGCAGATCCAGTTCCTTATAGGGCAGGATAGCGCATGCTGGTTGAGTATCTAGCAGTATCCGTTGGTGTGTGCCTCTCCGTTGACACAGTGAGACGTTCCATTCCCGTTAACATGATGCAACTGCTCCTTTTTCTGAGGGAAAAAGCCTCTCTGCAACTTGTGCTCCAGCAACATGTGGTTTTGTGGTGGCAGTCCAAGACACGCTCTGCAAAACAACACAAATAAGAATAGGAGAAACAAGTGCTGCAAATAACCTTATGGTGCTGCCCCTGACAAACAAACAAAAGACGTGTTTTAAAGTAGGATTATTGCACTGAAACGTAAAGATGGTGGAGCCCTCAGTAATGGGAACAGCATCCATCCAGCCAACAGCACTACACTGCTGTGTTCAAACCAGTGAGGGCGGGTTTCGGCTCAAAAGTGTCCAAAATGACGTGCGCTGACATGCTGCAATACCACCCCGGGCCGATGGGGGTGGACCCAGAAGAAGAATTAGCCAATGCTAACATATCGCATTGGCAGACCTCTCAAAAATGTCTTTACAGGATGGTCCAAAAGTTGGCTCTTGGCCCAAAGCTCCGTTCCACATGTGTGTCAATGCTGAGGGGGTGGATTTTTTTGGTCCACTCTAGTTTACTCGCGGTGAATTTTTGAAGTCTCTCGTTCAAATGAATGGAGCTGCTCCGGCTGACGCATGTGCAGATGCGTTTTTTCACAATTTTCTTGTGGACGGGACCAGTCGCGGCCATTTTGGATAGCTCCAGTAGAGCAAAATTTTTGGCCCATTAGTTAGAACGGCGTGACTCTGTCCGTTAAGTCTATGGTTCAAACACTAAATACTGAAGTTACAGACTTTACTGCATGTGGAGCAGAGATACAGTATGATCCGGATCCAGCACAGTGCATTCAGTAGGGAAAAAACTCAATTTTGAAGGGGGACAAAAAAAGAATGTCCGAGGCACAACTGATTAAAAAAAAGTCCTTTAAAAATACCCTTCAAAATTGAGCTTTTTGCATTTGGAGCCGAGCACCTGACTCATACCCAACCCACAGCTCACTCTCCCTCTTGCTGTTTATTCTGTGTGTTTCGGGTGGGTCTGTTGAACGGTTGGGTGGGATTATAATGTATTGTAAAAAGAAACACAAAAATAATGTGCTGTACAAGAATAAATAGAATTTAATTGAATTATAATAAAAATTCGATTGAAGATTGTTAAAAGGACTAATTATAAACCTACTATCTCAGATTTGACTGACACATTTTCACTTTAAACAAGAAATATGTATTCAAATGTATGTGTGTGTGTGTACATGTAAATTATCGATATTTAAACATATATTATAATATCTCAGCTCTTGTGAAACAAGTCAAACCAATTATGAATCGAGTTTGACGATGAGCTCATCAATCACAGTAACAAGATTACTATAAAACAAAACAGGATTTTTTGTGGTTTGTAGAGAACTGAAATAATCGCGGCCTTGAGGTTTTGCTATTTATGGCAACAACACATATTGCGCAGTACTCCAAACCTGAGGATGTTTTCGATGCACGCTCGCTGCCGGAAGAACGCGTTGATCACCGGCGCCCCTGCTGGTACGAGTGGGGCCTTGCAGAGGAGTGCGAGTAGAGCCAGGACACTGTGGAAGGACTGGTACTCCTGCTCTCCCTCCACACGCACACTCACACGCTGGCACAGCTCCGTCAGAATCACCAGGTCCAGGATGATGGGGCTGGCCAGTAACGAGTCCTGCAGCAGGAGTTTCAAATGAGGAATATTTATGTTCTACTGATATGTGTCCACAGATGTAAACATACAACTATATACAGTAAAACTTGCACTAGAATATACAGTACTTTATACTTGCTTCTTATTATGCCTGTTAGCAGGCCTGGCTTTGAGCGGCTGGATGGCAGTGAGATATACCCAAACAAAAGTTGACGGAGGCAGGCTTCAGCTTGGTCCACTTATTTTTATGTTCTGTTTTTTTTCCTTTTTTTTTTAAAGTGACCAGTGCAAACAAAGAAAAGGGTGCAAAAATGGAAAACAAACCAACACAGTGGCTGGAGGACAGGAGCATGTGTTCCCCAGCAGCAGGACAATGGAATGGTAAAAATGGGTGCCTTATATACTACTGGGTAAAACCAATTAAAACTCCAGGGGTATAGCATTAACATTAGCTTCTAAAAACTATGTTAAAACCCTCCATTAAAATACCAATAACCAGTTACAATAATAAAACACCCTCCTACAAAAATATCTATACAAACTATGACTAAAACAGTGCTAGATCCCCCCTCCACCAATTCATTGACTTGGTCCAGCCGGAACCATAAATGCCGGTGTTTGTGCCCCGGGGACTCTTTTGGCCCACGCACCTGGACACAAGACAGTGGTGAGTAAACACATTTTTAAAATACATATCACAGCCACACTTATATCATTCACCCACTAAAACCACACATCACACACACCCGAACCCATACCAAACACAAGGCAGCGTTCCAGACCTATGCACCTAGAATCTGGAACAGTCTTCCCGAAGGTGTGAGACAGGCTCCTTCTTTAGTTATGTTCAAGTCCAGGCTGAAAACGGTTCTTTTCAGCCGTGCCTACGACTGATCATCAAGAAATCATATCATACATTTATTTTTGATGTATATATTTATTCATTTTCTCAAACTGTCTTTTGTATTTGTTTTTACAGTCTGTTTTTAAATTGCTTTTAAATGTTGCCGATGTGAAGCACTTTGGGTTGCATTCTGTATGAACTGTGCTATAGAAATAAACATTGATTGATTGAACTAACTCAAACACCACATATATTGCACAAAGCCCCATTCAAACTGTTTTGTTTGTCTCCGCAGACCGGACTCTGGACAACCCAAGCCCTCAATAAATGTCTTTCTAAACCCAACAGTTGTGTGCAATTTATTATATGTGCACATTAGCATGTTACAATATGTGTACAGTGCAATTTAAAGTGTGATGTGACATTTAAAAGGTGAATTCATAAAGTGCAGTGCGATATTACATGTAAAGAACAGCTGTTCTTTACAATGCCAAAGGTAGATTTTTAAAACTTCTTTATTATGCTAAAGTCAGAGTTGTTGTACTCATTATGATAAAGATAGAGATTATATACTTGTTTCTTCTTCATGCTAGATTTTTATTTTATTTTGTGCTGAGTTATTGTTCATTTATCTTGTGTTTTGTGCTGCTCAATCTTACTGTACTATACCTGGTGATGCAACACTGACATTTCCCCACTGTGGGACGAATAAAGTATCTCTTAATCTCTATCTTAATCTAAACATAATCTGATGCAACTAGATTAGAGAATGGATCTGGATGGATGCATTTCTACAGTGACATAATTCCCTAAAATGTGTAGTTTTTCTGCTAAATAGGATTGTGTTAAATATTTTATCTAATGCTCCGAATGAAGGTTTGGCACCACCTGCATGTGAAAGCCTGATCCCATCAGTTTCTAAGCAGGGCAGGATCTGGATTGTGTAATGTGATGGGAGACCCTGCATGATGACTGTAAAGTACCAAACTGTAGTTGTGTCCTTAGGCAAGACACTTCCCTAGTATAAATGTTTAATGTGACCTGCATATTTTCTGTATTACTGTGGAAACATTATCACAAGAACTGAGTGCATTTTGTTCTGTCACACATTACTAACCAGTCTCTATCTTAAGCATAAGTCATTTTTATCTCATGTGATGACATCTTTTGTACCTTTTGTTCAACCCGGGAAAATGAAATTTGAAGTATTACGAGTGCCTAAGATCGCTGCTGAGTCTGTGAGTGAAAGTGGTCGGTGGGCCAGTTGCTTTGCTTCTATCAGTCTACCCCAGGGCAGCTTGGGTAGGCAGGGTGGCTACAGTAGCAGGTAATCACCAGTGCGTACAGAGTGAATGAATAATGCCATGTGAAGTGTGTGTCAGTGATCTTCCCTCAGCACTGACCTCGCAGGTGTTGTGCATTGCTATAGTGTTGGTTCCTCCCATCATGATCTCAGACGTGTACTCGTCCATGGCCCGCTTGCTGTCCCCCACACACGGGACGTACTTTATCACCACCTGCAGAATTACACACTTAATATTTCAGCTCTGATACATGCAGATGAGAGCCTTGGTTTTCAGACTGACACAGTGGTCGGGCTTCTCTCCGGGCCGGTACAGGACTGGGTTGGACTGCACCATGTCGTCCACCACGTTGCTCTTGGAGATCTCTTTTGAGCGGAACTGCTGTGGCGCCGACAGGTTCTTGCCGTCGTTGTTGCCCAGGTGATTGTAGCTGACGATAGAAGTGGGCTGGGGAAAAAAGGAAAACAAAGGTAGCATTACATAACTGGTATTTTTGTATAATGACAGGTCAACATTGGCTCGGATATTCTCCGTATAGTGTGGATTGACAGGTGTCCTTAAGAAAGACACTTGAGAACTACTAAACGCATGGAATACATATGTAAAGAAAACCAACCAAAGCTTTCTTTTTTTTAATCTCTGATGCAATCACCAAAGAGCTTTGCCAACAGGATTGTTAACATTTCAAAGTCTGTGACATTATCATAAAATTATATTACATCTGTATCTTAGTAATCATAGAATAAATTCCAATTTTAGAGTAACAGGTCCTACATAGTTCTGTGGTGCAGATATAAGAAGGCTGCACTACAGAAGCTCAAAGTTGCCTATAACGATGCTTTCAGGATTCTGCTGAAAAAGCCCAAGTCCAGTAGTGCTAGTCTGCTGTTCTGTCAGACTTGTGTGAACTCTTTCCATGCTCTCATGAGAAAAATGATGTACAGGTTTATGTGCCGCCTGAATGTCTTTTATAATTGTTTTTTTTTTGTGTTTGTGATGTGGTGTTTTATGGACTGAGTCTGACAAATAAAGATAATAATAAAGCCGCAAGCGGCGTCGAACGGCCCTCGCCACACCACGCAACTTCCTGCACCGCGCGACTTCCCGCACCGCACCGCGCCGCTCCCCGCACACAACGCCCCGCACCGAACCACGCCGCACCGCGCATCGGAGGTGGCGCCGCTGAACTATGTTTTTTTCCCGTAGCCATAGAAGAATTTTTGTGAAATATTAATGAACATGATCAGTTGAGTTGGTTTGGCTCCCCATGTCAAATCTAGCCTCAGTCTGTAGGGGGCGCTAATGGGCCAATTTCAAATATTTCACTTACAAATGACCTACACCCTGGAGTTCAACAATGTATTCAAGTTTTGTGCAAATTAGACTTTGTTTGTACAAACGGGAGCAAATTTGCTAATGTCAAAAATGGCAATACAAATACCACTGTTTGCCGCTCCGCTGCTCAAATATCGTTTCACTGATCAAAATTCCCTGAGGTCATTTTGAAGGTACATGTGTTTAGATGATGTGGAGTAATTTTGAGGCGAATCGGTGAAACGGCCGAGGAGTCGCCGCTTTCCAACCGACATGTATGGAAATTATTGCTAGTAATTTTTCAATTTTGCAATGAAATTTATGGACTTCCTGTTTGTCAGGGGGCGTGGCCATAATAATTTTTTTTTCATGTCTTGACTTGAGGAACATTTGTATCGAATTTCATGGCTATACAACAGACTTCACCTCGAACCCCTCCAATACTAAAAACGTTGACACCATCTGTAGGGGGCGCTAATGAGTCCAGTTCATTTATTTCACTTTCAAATGACCTAGACCCTAGAGTTGAACAATGTATTAAAGTTTTGTGCGAATCAGACTTTGTTTGTGCAAACGGGAGCAAATTTAATATGGTCAAAAACGACCAAAAAAGGTCACATTTTGCCGCTCCGCTGCTCAAACAACTTTTTACTGATCAAAAGTCATTTGATGGTTCATGTGTTGAGATGATGTGGAGCGATTTTGAGGCGAATCGGTGAAACGGCCGAGGAGGAGTCGCTTTCCAACCGACATGTATGAAAATTATTGCTTTTCATTTTTCCATTTTGCAGTGAAATTTATGGGCTTCCTGTTTGTCAGGGCGGGGCCATAAAAATATTTTTTTCATGTCTTAACTTGACGAACATGTGTACCGAATTTCATGGCTCCACGACAAACATGATCTCCGAAAACTTTCCATGCATGTTCAGGGGGTCAAATTAAGGCTCAAAGTGCAGAAGAAAAAAGAAAGAAAGAAATGAGGATTTTTTTTTTTTGACGTCTTGAGCAAAAACAATATAGGTTTCAATGGCACGTGATACATCATTTTAAAGCGTTTGAGTTTACGCACGCAACCGTCACGTTGTGGTGCGTCCGTCACGCACCGCCACCACTTGCATTCACCATTGTGAAAGCATTAGGCCCTTACCCCGTTCGGGGCTCGGGCCTAATAAATAAATATTGTTAAATTGAACATAATGATAAATTCTCTCATTTAATTTACACAAAGGAGTGGGGAGAAGTAGAAACTTATTTAATCCCACCCCTTATTTCAAATGACTATTTCATTTTTCTCAAACTCTGCTTTTCCATGTTTGGTCCTGACTCTGGGACCAGCAGGAGGCCAGTCCCTGTGCTCCTCAGAGTCCCAGCAGGAGGCCAGTCCCTGTGCTCCTCAGAGTCCCAGCAGGAGGCCAGTCCCTGTGCTCCTCAGAGTCCCGGCAGGAAATTATAAGGGACGGCTGATTTAAGGCTATACAAAAATACATTTAATTGCATTTTTGTATGTAATCAAAAATAGTTTAATATCTTTTTAATACTTTTGAGTTTTCCAAAGACTATTCTGCAGTTCGTTCGTATCAAGATAAGATAAGATAGACTTTATTGATCCCACACAGGAGAATTTTATTTTTTAAATAATTAACACTCAAATTTAAGCTTTGATTACTTCATATTGTAGTATTTTTTTGCAGTGCAGGCCTTTAACAAATGGCTGAGATGCAGTTTGATGGTAAAAGTGTCTAAAACCAAGTGACAGAGATGTTCCAATGAGGTAGATTTCAGTTCCAAGCTTCAAGTCGATACAAAAAGAAGAGAAAACCTGGATCGGCTTTGAGGCAAAAACAATTAAAACTCTAAGCCTCTATTCCAGAGTAATTGGTTCAGTCGAGGACATCTCTCCGTCGCTAACTTTTAACCGGAATGAGAAGTAGGAAATTTCTCAGTGGTCGCAATAAGCTCTTAATGTTATATTTGCATTGTGTATATGCCCAATTAAGATTGTAATATTCATATTATGTCTTTCTCAATGTTGCAGTTGTACAGTCCATTAGAAAATACACATCAAATACAGCAACATTTGTAAAGAGAAAGGTTGGCAGCAGTAGTAGTAGTAGTAGTAGTAGTACTTAGAATGAGCCTGGTTGGAGGTGGTAGGAGGGGTAGGAGGATGACACATACTGGTTGCCTTGCATGCTTAAATTCAAGTTTATTTTGTCTTAATCTGAGCACATTACGACAGAGTTAAAACTAGATTCTCCAACGGGACAAAGCCATTTAGTCTTCTTTCAAGAAATTTTGCTTTATTTTTTCATTCCAAAGGAGACATTTCTTATATCTAACAAGATAATATTTATTTTCCCGTTGGCAAATCTTGGTTTAGACCTCTCTTCAATCCACCTGTTTATTTTGTGATATTTCTCAATGGACATTACCATGACAGGTTTCCATGGTACGCAAGGACTCAGCTGCAAACTCCAGCTGTAAAAGAATTTAAGTTCATCACTACAGGCGGCACGGTTTCTCAGGAAAGTCCTAGGTTCGAATCCTGTTCGAAACAGGGCTTTTCTGAGAAGAGTTTTCACGTTCTCCCCGTGCATGCGTAGGTTTCCTCCGTGTGCTCCAGTTTCCTCCGGGTGCTCAAGTTTCTCCTACCGCTAAAAACATGGACAAAAGCCCTCCTCTCTGAGGGGCCAGGACTTCCCTGAAAACGAGATGCTTAAGTCTCAATGGGTCGTTCCTGGTTTAATAAATAACTTAAATTTGAGCGTTCCATTTGCTAAGAGTGTCAGCAAATGGAACGCCATGAGGGTTGCCAGGTTGGGTTTGGGTCGTCCACAATAAGCTTTAAGAAGATGCAAATCAGCAGAATGTACTGGAGAGTTTGTTCAGCTGTTCGTGCTTCTGGAGCTTTGAGGTAAGGCAACACAAACACCAGCAGATGTTGTCGATTCTACACACACAAAAAAAGCAACAGCCTCAGTTTGTGCGTTTGACTTTGGATCTGTTCTGGCGTGTGAGCTGTAAGATGGTTCAGATTCAGGTGTGGTGGATCTAAACTAGAGGTTTAGACAAATGTTGTACTAATGCACTTGTGTTTGACAAACATCTCTGGACTTCATCATCCTGGGAAAGTAGCACTCTGTGTGGGAAAGGTTGGAGACACCTGACTTATATACTAAAAAAGTTAAAGCAAACAATGACAAACAATTATATACTGTATATTGGATTAAAGTCGGTGTTTTCAATACAATTAATTCACTCCTGCACACCCTGTGGACCAGCTGGCAATGATGCAGTGACTTGTAATGAGCCTGTTATATAGTTTGTTACCTTGATGCCAGCGCTGACCAGGAAGTCCACCAGAACTGACTTGATCTTGGTCTGTCCTGATTTAAAGTCATCTCCAGCGATGAAGACTCCCCTCTGCACGGCCAGCTCCACGGCCCCGGGGACAAAGGTGTTCTGTGGGGAGCCGTTGATGAAGGCGCATCCCTCCAGGACACTGGCCACAGCGAACAGCGTAGAGGGGGAGACCTCTGCTCCAGCCTCAACAAACAAAACATAGGAAAACAATGTTAGTCCCAGTCATTCAAATACTCTATAATGAAACCATGGATGTCATCGAGTACAAATATTTAGCCCCCAGAAACCATGTTTTGACCTTTGTTATGTCTGCCCAGTTTGTCTCCAAATTAATTTAGAAAAAGTCTCGAGTGACATAACATTCTTTTCAACTGCATGCCTTCAATAACTAGGCGACATAATTTGATGTTTACTCAAAGAACAGTATGTAGTTCCCCATTCCACCACTAGAGGGAGGTGTTTCACTATTGAGACCATGTCATTATCCATTACGGAGTACAAAACTTTGAAAGACAAACATTTGTCAGAAAACATGCTAGAAATGTTCAAATTCTTGGCTTGCGGTCACGTGACGCATAAACTTCCGGTTGACGAAGTGGTGGTCAGGCCAGAAAGAGTTGCTGCTAATATGTGGAGAAAATGGGACTCGCTTTTTTGGATATTTCATGACACTTTGAAGCTACTGTGATTAACGTTCTAACCAGTGGGGACGGGTCCCGGCTCAAAAGTGGCCAAAATGACGTGCGCTGACATGCTGCAATACCACCCCGGGCCGATGGGGGTGGACCCAGAAGTAGAATTAGCCAATGCTAACATATAGCATTGGCAGACTTCTCGAAAACGTCTTTACAGGATGGACCAAAAGTTGGCTCTTGGCCCAAAGCTCCGTTCCACATGTGTGTCAATGCTGAGGGGGGTGAATTTGTTTGGTCCACTCTAGTTTACTCGCTGTGAATTTTTGAAGCTGCTCCGGCTGACGCATGCGCAGATGCGTTTTTTCACAATTTTCTTTTGGGCGGGACCACTCGCGGCCATTTTGGATGGCTCAAGTAGAGCACATTTTTTGGCCCATTAGTTAGAACAGCGGAGATAGGCGTGACTCTGTCCGTTAATATATACAGTCTATGGTTCTAACTCATCATTCTAACAATATGCACAAGGCAGAATCCACTACATGTTTTAGTAATATTAAGGTTGAAGCAACTGGCACCGCGGCAAATGCTAACATGCTAATAATGCTAATAAGTCTCCATTCCTCCGCTGTGTTACATTCTGTAACGTCTTTGTTTATGCTGCCTCTACCATCGACAATAAAACATGTCTTCTGTCTGAATTAAAGGCACGATCCTAGACTGTCATTTTTTGTGTGTTACAATCAAGCTTTTGCACTGCTAAACAAATAAAGGTTTGGAAAAACATGGATGCTGCAACTTTTCCGTCTGTCTGTGGGTCAAGGAATTCAGATTTAAGGTCCCGAAGGACAAATCCTGCATCCTAAAGAGCCGTGTAAGTAACGATTGGTATGAACTTGTCATTCTCCTCAAAACAATGCGTCTGTGGCTGTGTTCTTTTCAGGTCAAACATTCAGTGTTTATTTAAAACGCAGACTCATACCTGACAATTAATTAGATAAAGATGGAGATGTAATAACTGCGTATTGAGACTGCATGGCTGGGTAAATAAATAATCCTTTGAGGTAAAAGCGTTTGCCAGTGAAATGTTAGCAAGCCACTTTTCCTGCGTCTTTTCGTAAAGTCCTTAGTGCGAGGCTCTTTATTCATCTCTTCACGAGGAATCCTAAAGTATCCATTAAAGGTTTCGCGTTTCGATTGGTTAGAAAACTTAAAACAACACATGCAAAAGGCATATTCAGACACGCTGCTCTAGTGAACAACTAGCTCGACTGACCACCACTTCGTGATACGCATACGTAATGAGGCGGACGTGACGTCAATTGCAAGCAAGCATTACACAGAAAAATGGCGCCGGGAAGGAGCTCTGGTGTGTACTATTCTGGTGCACACTGGGGTAGTCTTGCACAGTTTTTCCAATATGGTTTTACTGCAAACAGCAAATAAATTCTGGAATCTTGAAAAACAAAAACAATGGAACAATCTCAAAACAGTTCTATCTCTAGTCACCCTCACCCTCACTCAGCCTAAAGCATCAAATAGTGACACACATGTTTTTCGATAAGATGAAAACAGCATGCTGTGGTCTTGTTCACTAAATTTAACTTTCCCTTCCTGTTTGGGCAAATCAAATGTGTTATTATGTATGAAGCAGGAAACAAAGATCACGTTGTATTCGTATCAAAAGTATACTTGTGTGCACCTGAATAGCAGCCAGCAGATTGTCAGCCGTGTCATTAATCCCTGCAGTGATGTCGCAGAAGCGCTCAGTGTTTGCGGTCCACAGCACAATGACTTTGTCCACACCGCTGCAGCTCCGGAACTCCCTCATGTCAGCTCGTATCTGCGCCATCTGCTCAACAATACACATTATGCTCTATTATAGATAAAAACCAATATTCTAAAGGTGTTTTATTCAAAGTATGAAATGTTAATAGAGAACATAAATGTCCCGGATCATTCCTCCTTTTCCTTGCAGATGCCGGAGGGTCTACGGACAGTGGTGATGATCCAGGACACTCGACATTCAACAACATTTATGGACATTTATCAACATTTTGGATAACTACTGCTGTGATTTAGGGCTAACAAGAGTAAATTGAATTGACTTGAATCATCATAATACTCCATAATAACCAGTCTACAGCACTCGTTCGGTCAGTTCAAATTGAGGGATAACTGTATTTTTTTTGCTCAGGAAAACCTACAAAACAGAAACATCTGAACCTGAATTCAATAAAAGTAAAAACAAAAAATGGTTCAAAAACACCCCCATAATGTGTGAACATAAAAACAACCACAAATGCAAAGAGATGGGCCAATGAAACCCATATATATATACAGTATATCTTGATTTTCTGTTTGTTCTCTCCATATCTTCTTTAAAGTAAAACTATTTCATAAATATCCTCAACCTCTAAAAATGTTTTAATAGCTAACTAGCATATTAGCTCTAGCACCAAATCCTGTTTATTTGCTACCGTGTAATAAAAAAACCCATAATGCTTTAAAAACTAAAGACGGCTAGAGACATTTTGTTAAAGTCTGTCACAGAAAATGTTTTTTAATGAAATATAAATGCATCAGTGTGTGGTTTTCTTGTTAAAAAGGGGCAGCGCGTTAGATAAGGGAACTTTATTTTATATACCTTATCAAGACATTTAGAAATATCTGGAATTGCATCAAAAGGACTCTTGCATCTAGACATATATTGCGTAATGCCCAGCTTTAGTCGTCCGTAATCCCACCTGCTCGGCCATAGTTCCAGTCAGGACATTGTCGGCCCGGCTCTGCTGGTTGGCTGCGATGAAGTCTGGGATATAAACAGACTTCCGGGGTTTCATGCGGCTCATGTGTGGACGGAGCTGCTCTTGTAAAGCCCAGTCCAGCACCTGGGCTCGCTCCATCGCCCCGCCCAGGTCCAGGGAGGAAATGTCCCAGCCTTAAAAGAACAAAAACAATGCGCCATTAGGAAAAGAAATTAGCTGTCAGTTTCATTTTTGTCTCTAAACCTGAGTTGTACCATCAAAGACGATATCGTTGGGGTGCACCATAGGTAACATATCACAGAAGGGAATGTTGACGTCTCCCTCTGGACCTGACCCCAAACACACAGTAGAGCACTGCAGCAGAGAGCCATAGTAGTTTGCCTTCTGTTGGGAAAAATACAGACATTAGAATTCAAACTAGTATCAAAACTATCTAGTCCTAAAAAAAAAATCTATTTAAAAGCTGAGGTACTTGAATTTCAAACATGCATGTATTTATGGCCTCATTTAGACTTATTTAGACATAGTTTTTGGGGAAATGTATGTACGATTGGGAATCATTTAGAACTCATTGTTGCTTCACGTACAGTTTATCTTTTCATATTTTTTTGTCCCACACTGCCTTTTAAAGCTTTTTCCCAACAGAAAGAGAGAGTAAAGTATTGGTCAAGCCACAACCTGCTGCTTCCATTGTATATATTAAAAAAAATCATTGCCCGAAAACCAATGCTCTACCCACTGAGCCACTGTCTTTTGCATATTTGTAAGAAAGAGCCCTGTATGTCACTGTTTGACGCTTTGGGCTGAAAATGTGACAGAAACCAAAAATACGTTGCTTAATTTTCAAAAACAAGTTGTTTGAAAGTTATGTACGCCAGCTTTAATTGATGTAAAATGAATAGAAATATTTACGTTTCATTATTAAAGCAAGAGGCAGGGGGAAAGTAACCTGTAGTACACTCTTAGTGGTATTTAGTCTCAAAGCAAGAAGCACACGCAGGATTTGCAGTGGAAAGATGTAAGGAGCACGGTTTAACGCCTTATATGGGCATTTCCTGAAGTGTGGAGACAGTTTGACAGTCTAATGAACACCGCATAATGAACTTATACAATCAGTCTCTAACAGGCACATGGCTATATTTATAAAATGGGGCGAGGGCTCCATGGTCTTTAACAGCAGCCTAATTAGGATTGGCTAATGATTTGGTTATTACACTGGTTCAAGTGCTGACGTAAGTGATGCATAATTAAGAACAGTAATAAAGAGTAATGTAGACGCCCTAATCTGACAGACAAACTGGATGTTTTATATGAAATCGAGCTGCTAAATCACTTTAAAACTATAAATACCATGGTTCCCAATAGTGCTTTATGTTACATTTACAGATATTTTGATGTCTAACCAAGTAGTCATCCCTTTTTTTGAATCAATCATTTTTTGGGGCGTACTGGTGGAGGACAATATCTAAATGTTGTTGTTTTGCCTGAATAGTTACACAGTTTGTCATAAAACTTTCCTTTTACGTGGGAAACAAGTAGACTCCGATAAGTTACAAATCAGTTCTGTGGAGGTGAGTCTTCTCTCTGTACATTTTTTTGAGGAATGCACATGTTTTAAACCATACTGAGCAACGTTTTGAGCAAATCAATAACATATCTATAGCAAGAAAGGAGGTTCTGACTGGCTTTTTGTGAACTGGTCCGACTCTTGAACTGCATTTGTGTAAAATATATATTATGTATCTCAGAGTAATGATGTTAGTGCTTTTGTGAACTGAACTACTACTTTAGAATTAGAAGAGCTTCATATTGACAAGCCTAATGTATGAATGTGGCATGAGCTGGACCTGGACTCCGGTCTTGGTCCTCCACTGGAGCTGCAGTTTGTTGGCGAGTACAGCAGCAGTGACAGTGGTGCCATTGTTGCCCCCCCAGCCCACCAGCATGACTCCGAGCCGGGGCACGTGGCTCTCGGTCCGGAACCTCATCTGGGTGTTGCGTGGAGTCACCTACAATACACACACACACACACACACACACACAGACAGAGACATAGACATACACACACACACACACACAGACAGAGACATAGACACACACAAATAGACAGAGACAGAGACATAGACATACACACACACACACACACACACACACACAAATAGACAGAGACATAGACATACACACACACACACACAAATAGACAGAGACATAGACATAGACATACACACACACAAATAGACAGAGACATAGACATACACACACACACACACAGAGACAGAGACATACACACACACAAATTGACAGAGACATAGACATACACACACACACACAGACACAGAGACATACACACACACAAATAGACAGAGACATAGACATACACATACACACACAGAGACAGAGACATACACACACACAAATAGACAGAGACATAGACATACACATACACACACACACACAAATAGACAGAGACATAGACATACACAAACACACACACACACACACACATGCACAAAAAATCAATACATTAGGTCTGATTATAAAGCAGCAATAGTCTTGTTGCCCTGACAGGTCTGTGTTTATTTGAGATGAGACTGGCACAACCCCATACTGTAATTTCCAAAAACGATTGTAAAAGAGTTTAAACTTCCACCAACACTCCAAAAAGGATATAATATGAGGTAATAACTGCTTGAATCGAGCGGTTTTTATCTTTATTTTAGTACATTCTGACAAGATTTGCCAATGGGACAAAACCATTTAGTCACATTTTAGTCACATTTTCACCACTGAAATATGACTTATCTTGTATTTTTTTTAAAACAAGATCATTTTGCTTGTCCCATTTTCTAATCATGTTTTACGGCAGTAATGATGCAAAATATTAGCAATTTTTTACTTATTACCACTTTTTGCAGTGAAAGGCCACAAAATATGCAGTAATAGTACCGTAAATGGCCGATTGTTATCTAAGTATCTACATTTAACACAGGTTCAGCTGTGCCACCATTCCTTACAATGTCAATGGGTAAATTGTGTTAAATACTGGGTTTATAAATGGCTGTGGAACTTGTAACACAGAAACTGCATATGGTCATTTGGGTCAATTCACCAGGGGGGCAGGGAAACCGGGTTGGGGCATGTGTCTCCTGGCTGCAGTTGGAACACATTTGCTAGTTGTGTTATTTTCATGTTATTGCTTGTTTAGCTCCTTGTCCGATTTGTCAATTCAGATGGAATCCTGGTTAATGATAGTGAAATGAAAACCCCAAGTTCAGTACAAAGGATGCTAACAGCTAAGCCTACATCATACTAGGGATGTAAAAAACTCTGAACTTTCATGACCGACCACCAGTGTTGGGCACGTTACTTTGAAAAAGTGATTAGTTGTAGTTACTAGTTACTTCTCCCAAAAAGTAACTTAAGTTACTAACGGAGTTACTCCACTGTAAAAGTAACTAGTTACCAGTAAAAGTAACTATTGCGTTACTTTTTCGTTTTGTTCTAGAACATAATGTGCACCCGACGTGCGCATTTTTACCTTTAACCTCAGTGAGTCTGAAATAATGCCAATATTTCCATCTAGAAAAGTCTGTTTTGCTGCTGAAGTCCTGTTCACTCTCCATCTCTCTCTGTGCTGTAATCACTAAACACCAACCCCCGACACTGTGAATGTGGAAACACCGGTGAAGCACTGACTTCAGTCCAATCAGATGGACATATTTATCATATAAATCAACTGGACAATTTGTTTGCCTACAGCAAAATATGTTTCATGCCCGCATTGTTTGTTCATACAAAACGCAAAACTATGAGTTATGGGTCTTACCTTATAAATGACCTGCACAGGCCACTTCGGTTCAGACCAGTTCCGTGTTTAAGTCCAGATAATAGTTTGAGCGTAGATATGTAATCCTCCATTTGGAAATGAGTCCAATGAGTTTTAAAAAGTAAAACAAAACACGTGTGTCCTCCATAAACTCCTGTGTTTTGCTAGCTGCAGCCGGGTGCATCCAATTTCTAAAACCAACCGTCTCTCTTTCTTATCCTTCCTAAAGTCATTGAAAAATTACCCTAAGTACATTTTAAATTATCTTAAAATGTGTTATATGTATGTTAGCCAAACCTGTTGCTGTCCTTAGCAGATAAACCAGGAAGAGAAAGGAGCTTATCGATGGAATTGTATGCAGCCGACTTCTGCGCTCACATGAGCTCCTCTGAGGCCTCACGGTGATACAAGCCGTAGTTGAGCGCGATTAAGACCCATATTTGTTTCAAAAACACAATTTATGAGCCATCCTCTCAACTGTAGACATGTGGATTGTAAAGGAAATATGTTTTACATCAGCCAATAATTGCTGAGAGGTTTTCTCATCCTCCCTTCTCTCATGACAACACGCGCACGAGTCCTATCATGAAGTAAAAACAGAAGTTCATTGTGCGTCTTGAGTAACGCGCAGTAACGGGATGTCGGAAATGATAACGGCGTTATAGTTACAGTCAAAGTAATTAGTTAGATTACTCGTTACTGAAAAAAGTAACGGCGTATTCCCATCACTGCCGACCACCGAGCCTCATTAACCGGTTGAAACCGGTTAACCGTGTAGTTAAAATATTCCACGTTCTTTGAAATAACAGCCATTTCGAGCCGCGTACTTTTCAGCTCTGCGTTCTACTGGATCAGAGCTGAGACAGCGGCGCCAAAACCCGCAACAGCTTCGGCACCTTTGCGCACAGAGAACTGTTTTAATCTTCCCATTCTTCTGTGCTGCAGGTTAAAGCTTTTTTAAGCAAAAGACGGCTCGTTCACATGGTCAGAGCAGCGAGTGACGAGCCGCGTCTCGCAGATCTCCTCTAAAGTGATGTGTTTGAAGCTGATGCCGAGGACCATAAACACAAACATGGTCCATGTGATTTGACTGTAGTTCTGACCCGCACCAGTGTGCAACTTTGGCGGGAACAGAGGGGAGAGATGATGCGTGTGGATGTTACGTATCAATGAAGGGGGGGAAATGTGTGTGTAAGTGTGTGCCTGTGTGTGTGCGTGCATGTGCGGCATGAAACTCGGCCAGGAGTTTACGAATACGGGTGCGGGTCTGTCTCTAGCACACAGCTAGAGATGGACCCGCTCGTCACACCCTGCAAATAGGGCTTAAAATAGCGTTATTAAGAGACCTCCCCTCTCCCCTTTTTCTTTTTTTTAACCGACAGCTTTGACCGGTTAACGCTGTGACGGTCAACCACCGGTTAAACGGTCACCGATTTACATCCCTACATCATACTCCAGCTACAGAGGACACTTATGGAGGGAATGGCAAGAGCTCCGGTGTGTACTATCTGCTCTGTCTGGTGCACAATGGGGTAGTCTTGCATAGTTATTCCAATGTGGTTTTACTGCAAATGACAAATAAACTGAATCTTGAATCTTACACTAGCCCTGAGTGGACATGACTGACTGGCTAGATAAGTGCTCTACATAAATCTTTATTGCAGGGCTCTCCTACCACTAGCTTGCCACCCCATTCCACGTAGCTCCCCACAGAATGTACAAACAAATAACATATACATGAAATATCACAAAATGATAACTGCTCTATAGCACATGAGATCACCTGCTTCCTTACCTCCCACCTTTGCCACCCAGGTAGAGGTAGGAGGGCTGAGCTACTTCACAATCTCTTCTACAATAGTTTGCTTAGCTAGCCGGGGAAAAAGTCACATCTTCCATAAAAAAAAAAAAACAAGTGAATATGACTTTAATCAACAATTGTAACTTGTAGTATTTAAAAGCGATGAGTAGAGAGGCAAAGACCTGACCCTGGAACATTGAGTTTAAGCTAAATAACTAAACTAAACATATTGATTGGTGTCTCTCCGTTTTATTGCACAAAATCAAGATTGAGAAAGGTTTGCTTTGAATGGACAGGTGTTGTTCACTTCACTTCTCTTTCATAAGATGAAAAAACGGCTTAAGTGACTGCTGGACATCTTTAACCGGTCCAGGTAAAGTGAATCAGATAACACGTGATTAGTTAATGCTTCTAAAATAATAAAACAAGTTGGAATTGTGGGCGTGGCCTGCTTACCGTGATGTGGTCTCCGTCTGTGTGGACTGCTGAGCTCTGGTAGGCATAGTCCGCCTCTATGTGTGAGTCTGTGTAGTGCACGTGAGGGCTGTTCATGTGGATCTTCACAGGCATGATGCTCCTGCACAGAGGGAGACACAGATTCAGGACTGTGGACCCTGCACTGACACCTTTTCAGGTAAAACAGCATATAATAAAAGCAAAAGTACACACACTGCTGCCAATATTGTAATAATGATTGTTTATCACAAGTTTAAATCAATTTTAATGGCATTTTAGAACTTCAACAATGGAACTGAAAAAAGGTAGTGTCTTCTAAACATCAAAATGAAAATGTGGTGAGATAACAGAGAAACAAGGAGAGTAAATTTATAAAAATCCATAATATTTAAAAGTAATTTGTAAATTGTAAATTATAAATTACAACTACAAGCACAAGTCAAATGTTTAAAAAGATGTACATCTTATTCAAAACCTGTATCACACAAAGATTACTGTGTTCAATATCTTCTAAAAGGCAAATAGAAAGAGGTCCGCTGGCTGACTACAGAGCTCTTACTTTCTCATTCAATTGTGTTAGCTGTGTTTTTAGCCCCTATTATTATTATCATCATCAGTATTAGAAGTAAGGTTATGTAGTGCCCTAAGCAGAAGTCAGCATAGGGGCCCTATACACCTAACTCAAGAAACCATAAAAATTAAAGCAAGCATAAGTTCCATTACATATATATTACAAATAAATAATTCACAGTAATCAAGCGATATAAGACTTGATTAGTGATAATCAAGTCTAAAAAAACATTTGAACTTTTCACACACGATTAAAGATATGATAAGTAAGACTTTATTGATCTCACTTAGGAGAAATGTTCATGTCACATTTGGCACGGATAGAATAAATTGTGTACAAAAGACAAGTGTACAAACATGTTAAAATACAAAAATAAACAAAACACAAATATTAGCTATAATATAAGTATATATATATATATATATATATATATATATATATATATATACATTTTATATAAAATAAAAAATAATAACTAGTTTCATTATTATCACCACTAGTATTAATATATTACCTTAATATTAATATTAGTAGCGCATTAAACAAACACTGTTAGTATTATGTCTAAATTACAAATGTAACAAAATACTTCCGATTATCAAAGGAAGCACGTTTATTTTGAAGGTGTCCACCTTAAACACAACAAAGAGCTTGACTGATGAAGTTGTTTTGGGACTCGTTAAATGCAGAAATAAAACATGTCAGACACAATATTCAACTTTCTTTGCAGACAGTCAATGCGTCGGGTCGGGAACCACACGTTTTTTTTACCCGTTTGTTGTTCCCGCAGTTCGCTGTCTTTTTTCCTTTTTTCATCACTCTGCTTCAGCGTCTCTGCCTCTGCTGTGGCTGTGCGACTGACAACAGCAAGGGGGAGGGAGGGGAGGGTTGAAAGTGCGACGTAAGGACGTAACGTATCATGGGAGACAGCAAGTGACAACTTTAACAACCAATCAAATGGGTGATTCCGGATATGAAGGGCCTCGTAACAGCACGAGTGAGAGCCCCCGCACTCCGGGGCCCTTCCAGCTGCGGGGCCATACGCATACTGCGTAGTCTGCATATTGGAAGCGCCTGCTCTGAGTATAGGTGTAACAGAAAACACATGCCTACATCAAATTTCACATATTTATTTCAAATATCAGTATATTAAAGCTATGTGCTCAATACAAGTAGTGTAGCTTTATTCCAGAGAGTTAGCTAAAGTTTGGGCACACGAGCAGAGACGCGCATACGCACAGTAGAGGAATGAAACGGACGAACGCATGTGGAAACAATATCCAAACTTACATAAGATATGCAAAAAAGGCACAATCTACTGATCCCAGCCTGGAGCCGTGCAAGTCATGACAGGCTTGTAAAGGCAACATTCGCTTCTAACAATTCTAGGCTATTTTCCTCGAAAGCGAAAACGCAAAGAATCATTCATAGGAGGTAAATTTGGCTACAGCTGTCAGCATGATTGTCTGACGGAAATCTGTGATAATCTGTATCATGAAACTTACCGGTATAAGGCTTTCTGTGGCCGCGGATGACTGAAAGGAGAGAACCCCGGGTATGGACGGGATGGACCGGACTGAGTGGTGCGGTGGAATGAATTAGATGGTGCGACATGAGGTGAGCGTATAGCTGGGTTTCGATCACGTGTCCAGTGGGCGGAGCCACACAGCAGCGGGGGTCAGGAAGTGTGTCGTCCTGTTCAAAACAAACGCGCGATGGAGGAAAGCGGCTATGCTAACGAACTTCATGGACTGGAAAGGGGCCGATATGATGACAAAATCAAATTACATGTAGGGTTTGACCCGTATAGTGTAGAAAAAAACGAATGGTCGTACGAGTTGGAACATTTACCGGTGAACGAGTTCTACTTACTCCATCCATCCATCCTACATTAATGTAGGTCAACCATTCGCAGAGATCATCTGAGAAACCTTTGAAAGCCTGGTTTGTAACTAGAGAAAGTGGAGAGGTGGTCACAGCACATTGCAACTGTATGGCAGGGTACGACATTTATTTTATTTTCTTTCATTTGATGTATTTAAGCTGTAAATTATGGATTTCTTGGGTATTTTACAGTAAGCATACATATGTGTTTGTATTGTTGATGCACGAGTATAGGCTACATACATAACTTTACATAATTACATTATATTGAATACATACATTGTATTCCCTGTATGAGCACAACATGGAGCGAGAAGAACAACAAATGTATAATTTCCCTCTCATTCAGCATTGTTGTCATGTTTTGAATCTGATGAAATATACAATTCTATTAAACTAATTATACCACACTGCTATTATAATAATTTGAATTAGATGGTGCGACATGAGGTGAGCGATTGCTGGGTTTCGATCACGTGTCCAGTGGGCGGAGCCACACAGCAGCGGGTCAGGAAGTGTGTCGTCATGTTCAAAACAAACGCGCGATGGAGGAAAGCGGCATAATTTTCCATCTGCAAACTCAATTAAGTTCAAGTGAAATGTTGATGCATACTGTATTTCTTAATGTAGGTCAACCATTCGCAGAGATCATCTGAGAAACCTTTGAAAGCCTGGTTTGTAGCTAGAGAAAGTGGAGAGGTGGTCACAGCACATTGCAACTGTATGGCACCGAGGTAAAGTTAGCCGAACGTTTGATATTCGCCTGATATTCGAACAAAATCCCCCTGGATTCAAAGTCTGTCCGTATTTTCAGTTTAGTGAAGAGTGTAGTATTAAATACTGTTCACAATGTTGCCACCTATCAAAAAAAACTTGACTTAGGCTGCAGCTGAAGATTTATAACACGAAAAACAATGAAGATGAAGTCTCCGTTCATACTTGTGCTAAGCTCTCAACAAGGGACTGTCTGCAAAGTGCAAGATTTGACAGAACGTTGCAGATGGGTTGGTGAATACAATAAAAAGGGTGTGTTTAAAAAGTAAATTTTCCCAGTTTCGATGGGTGTAGTAGCTCCCACTGAATGATAGCTAGCTACTACAGGCAAGAATTTGGGAAAAATATTGTTTTCCCCTTCACAGTAGGAATAATGAAATTGGAAAAATTCACAAATATCTTTGTTGATTTTTAGTGAATTTTTCCAAAGATATTTTTCCCAGATTTGATGGGTGTAGTAGCTCCCATTCAATGATAGCTAGCTACTACAGGCAAGAATTTGGGAAAAATATTGTTTTCCTCTTCACAGCAACAAAAAGGAAATTGGAAAAATTCACCAAAAATCAACAAAGACAGTTTTCCCAGTTTTGATTGGTGTAGTAGCTCCAATTGAACAATAGCTAGCTACTACAGGCAAGAATTTGGAAATATATATATATACAGTGGGGCAAAAAAGTATTCAGTCAGCCACCGATTGTGCAAGTTCTCCCACTTAAAATAATGAAAGAGGTCTGTCATTTTCATCATAGGTACATTTAAACTGTGAGAGACATAATGTGAAAAAAAATAATCCAGGAATTGACATTTTTAAAGAATTTATTTGTAAATTATGGTGGAAAGTAGGTATTTGGTCAATAACAAAAATTCAACTCAATACCTTGTAATATAACCTTTGTTGGCAATAACAGAGGTCAAACGATTACTATAGGTCTTTATCAGGTTTGCACACACAGTAGCTGGTATTTTGCCCCAACTCCCTCCACATATTTTCAATGGAGTTGAGGTCTGGAGACTGGTTAGGCCACTTCAAATGCTTCTTACGGAGCCACTCCTTCGTTGCCCGGGCGGTGTGTTTAGGATCATTGTCATGCTGGAAGACCCATCTTCAAAGCTCTCACTGATGGAAGGAGGTTTTGGCTCAAAATCTCACAATACATGGCCCCATTCATTCTTTCCTTAACACAGATCAGTCGTCGTGTCCCCTTAGCAGAAAAACAGCCCCAAAGCATGACGTTTCCACCCCCATGCTTCACAGCAGGTATGGTGTTCTTGGGATGCAACTCAGTATCCAAACACGACGAGTTGAGTTTATACCAAACAGTTCTACTTTGGTTTCATCTGACCACATGACATTCTCCTAATCCTCTGCTGTATCATCCATGTGCTCTCTGACAAACTTCAGACGGGCCTGAAAATTCACTGGCTTCAGCAGGGGGACACGTCTGGCACTGCAGGATTTGATTCCCTGTTGTCGTAGTGTGTTACTGATGGTAACCTTTGTTACTTTGGTCCCAGCTCTCTGCAAGTCATTCACCAGGTCCCCCCGTGTGGTTCTGGGATTTTTGATCACCGTTCTCATGATCATTTTGACCCCACGGGATGAGATCTTGCGTGGAGCCCCAGATCGAGGGAGATTATCAGTGGTCTTGTATGTCTTCCATTTTCTGATAATTGCTTCCACAGTGGATTTTTTCACACCAAGCTGCTTGCCTATTGTAGATTCACTCTTCCCAGTCTGGTGCAGTTCTGCAATTCTTTTGCCTGGTGTCCTTCGACAGCTCTTTGGTCTTGGCCATAGTGGAGTTTGGAGTCTGACTGTTTGAGGCTGTGGACAGGTGTCTTTTATACAGATAACCAGTTCAAACAGGTGCCATTACTACAGGTAAAGAGAGCTTAAAGAAGAAGTTACAGGTCTGTGAGAGCCAGAGATCTTCCTTGTTTGAAGTGACCAAATACTTATTTTCCACCATAATTTACAAATAAATTCTTTAAAAATCCTACAATGTGAATTCCTGGATTTTTTTTCACATTCTGTCTCTCACAGTTGAAGTGTACCTATGATGAAAATTACAGACTTCTGTCATTATTTTAAGTGGGAGAACTTGCACAATCGGTGGCTGACTAAATACTTTTTTGCCCCACTGTATATATATATTTCCAAATTCTTGCATGTAGTAGCTAGCTACTGTTCAATTGGAGCTACTACAACCATCAAAACCCTGAAAAGTGTCTTTGTTGATTTTTAGTTAATTTTTCAGAGATAAGATAAGATATGCTTTATTTATCTCACAAGGAGAAATTTACACGTTTGGCATGGATAGAAACACTCAGATTGTGCAAAAGGAGGAAATGTGCAAACATGTTACATGCAGGATATATATGTACTGTTATGTATTGATTACAACAGTAGGGACTACTTTCTCTCGAGTATACGCACAGCGCATATGTAACGAGTACGCGGGTAGCGTACTGATATCTTGTACTTTGAATGACACCTGTCAAGTAAAGACGTTACTGAAGTCACCGGAGTTTTCTGTATGTTCTTCTTAAAAGTTATGTAAGAGACAAACATAACAAAATTGGCGACGAGGATTTACAAGAACCCATAAAGGCCTCAGGATGAATAACGGCAAGTAAAAAGGGTAAAAATTGACTTGGTTTGGTGAGAGAAATTTTCGTTGGCTCACTCCGAAGACAAACTAACGGGAGGTAGGGACGAAGTACCGTTACAGTAATCGGACGCAATAAAGTGACAGAATGTCGGGATTTGTTGGACATATGGACACATTTGACAGCTCCATAGAGGACTGGTCAATTTATGTTGAAAGATTTGACCAGTACTGCCTTGCTAACGGGATAGAGGATGAGAGGAAAGTCGCGGTTCTTCTGAGTCTCATGGGAGCGAAGACGTATAACCTCCTCCGCAGCCTCATCGCACCAGCCAAACCCGCAGACAAAACTATTGAGGAGATTACAAGAACACTCAAAAATCATTTGAATCCAGCACCGCTAGTGATCGCGGAGCGCTTCAGATTCTATAAGAGAAACCAAGCAAAGACTGAGTCAGAGTACATCGCAGATCTGCGAAGACTGGCGGAACATTGTCAGTTCGGAGAGGGACTATCTGACGCATTGAGAGACCGGTTCGTCTGTGGTCTGCATAACGAGAGTACGCAAAAACGCCTTTTAACAGAAGAAAGGCTCACCTTACGGCGTGCGGTGGATATCGCTGTGTCAGTGGAAACCGCAGCAAGAGACGCCACTGAACTACAAGGTAAACAGCCCGCTGCATGCTGGACACATGGGGGTTGTTAAAATGAAAAGCCTTGCTAGAAGTTATGTGTGGTGGCCTGGCCTTGATAACCAAATAGAGACTCTTGTGAAAACATGCACAGGTTGCCAACAAACCCAGCGACAACCTCAGCTTGCTCCTGTCCACACTTGGGAATGGCCAACAGCTCCATGGCAACGCCTACATGTGGACTATGCTGGACCCTTTATGGAACACATGTTCCTTATTGTGGTTGATCCACACTCAAAATGGCCTGAAGTTTTTACAGTAAACAAGGCAACTACAACTAAAACAGTGGCCCAACTGCAAATGCTTTTTGCACGTACAGTACTGGTTACCCGCTTCAACTGGTCAGCGATAATGGAACACGGTTTACCAGTGAAGAGTTTCAAACGTTCCTGAAAAACAATGGAATAAAACACATCACTTCTGCTCCTCACCATCCAGCAACCAATGGACTGGCTGAGCGTTTCGTACAGACTTTTAAACAGTCCATGAAAGCAAGTAGGAAAGAGGAAGTGCCGCTGCAGCAGAAAATTGCCAACTTTCTACTGGCATACCGAAATACGCCACACACAACAACTGGACAATCACCTGCAATGTTGTTTATGGGAAGAAACTTAAGGTCTCGTTTGGATCTATTCAAACCTGACATCCGTCAACATGTTACAAACAAACAAAGTTCTTCCACTCAACAACAACGAAAACTACGATCATTTGATATTGGACAAAAAGTGCTGGCTAGAGACTATCGCAACCAAAGTGACAAGTGGCATCATGCTGAGATTTTGTCACAAACTGGACCACTCTCTTACACTGTAGGTGTGGAACCTAATGTCGTCTGGCGCAGACATATCGATCAACTTTTGGATGCATCACCTGGAAAAGACGCAAACCCACCAGTGACACCAACTGTCCCAAGTCAAAAGGACAGTACATTACCACCAGACATGACAGTGGAAACCAACTCCACACCAGAAACTATTGACCGTCCCAGACCTGTCATAAACCTGTCTGATCCTCCGGGACGCAGATATCCTGAGAGGCACCGCAAACCTCCTGACAGACTTGGTTCATAGACTAAAAGTGTTGTATAAACCAAGTGTTGTAACAAAACAAAAAGGTTATGCATTTAAATGTGCATTTGTTATTGAAGTTGTTATTCAAGTAACCATTTATCTTACTTTTGATTTTTGTTTGATAAGAGCATAAAAGCTGTAAGGGAGGAATTGTTATGTATTGATTACAACAGTAGGGACTACTTTCTCTCGAGTATACGCACAGCGCATATGTAACGAGTACGCGGGTAGCGTACTGATATCTTGTACTTTGAATGACACCTGTCAAGTAAAGACGTTACTGAAGTCACCGGAGTTTTCTGTATGTTCTTCTTAAAAGTTATGTAAGAGACAAACATAACATGTACAATAAAAGTGGCAATTTAAAGTGGCAGTCAGATATAGTGTCAATAGTAGTAGTGCAGGTTTTTTTTTTTTCAGTCTTATACAGTGACTTATTGTACAGTCTGACAGCAGTGGGGATAAAGGCCCTGCGGTAGCGCTCCTTCCTACACTGAGGGTGTCTCAGTCTTCCACTGAAGGAGCTCCTCAGCTCCTCTACAGTCTTGTGCAGTGGGTGGGAGGTGTTGTCCATGATGGAGGTGACTTTGACTAGCACCCTCCTGTCCCTCACCTCCTCCACAGAGTCCAGGGAGCAGCCCAGAGTGGAGCTGGCCCTCCTGACCAGCTTGTTCAGTCTGTTTCTGTCCCGCTCTGTGCTGCCCGGGGCCCAGCACACGGCAGCGTAGTAAATGGCAGAGGCTACCACAGAGTCATAAAAAGTCCTGAGCAGAGGCCTGCTCACTCCGAAGGACCTCAGCCTCCTCAGAAGAAAGAGGCGACTTTGGCCCTTCTTGTGCAGGGCGTTTGTATTATGGGACCAGTCCAGTTTATTGTTAATGTGAACACCCAGGTACTTGAAGCTGTCCACCAGCTCAATGTTCTCCCCCTGGATGTTCAGCGGCGTGTGGGAAAGTGGTTTCCTCCTGAAATCGATGATCATCTCCTTGGTCTTACTGGTGTTCAAGCACAAGTGGTTGCACTCACACCAGTCGACAAAGTCTGTGATAACCGACCGATATTCCAGATCGTTCCCCTCAGACACACAGCCCACGATGGTGGAGTCGTCGGAGAACTTATGCAGGTGACAGCTGTGTGTGTCGTGTGTGAAGTCTGAGGTGTAGATGGTGAAGAGAAACGGTGAGAGGACAGTGCCCTGAGGGGCCCCAGTGCTGCAGACTACCACCTCAGACTCACAGCTGCGCAGCCGCACGTACTGTGGTCGGTCTGAGAGGTAGTTGATGGTCCATGCAGTGAGGCTACTGTTCACTCCCGCGTCCTCCATCTTCCCCCGCAGCAGTGCCGGCCTGATGGTATTGAAAGCACTGGAGAAGTCGAAGAACATGACCCTCACAGCGCTCCCGGCAGGCTACAGGTAGGAGAGCGTCCGCTGCAGGAAGTAGATGACGGCGTCCTCTACTCCGATGTTGGGCCTGTAGGCGAACTGCAGCGGGTCCAGGGTGGGGCTGATCACGGAGCGGAGATGGGTGAGGATGAGCCGCTCCATGGTCTTCATCAGGTGGGAGGTCAGTGCGACTGGTCTGTAGTGAGCCGGTTCCTTGGCGTGCAGTGTTTTAGGAACCGGGATCACACAGGAGGTCTTCCACAGGACAGGGACCTTCTCCAGGCTGAGGCTCAGGTTGTACATGTAGCTGAGGACCCCAGAGAGCTGGTCTGCACAGGTCCTCAGCAGCCTGGGACTGATCCCGTCCGGTCCTGCGGATTTCCTCTGCTTCAGTCGCTGGAGCTGACTCTTCACCGGGTCCGGTGTTATGGAGAGGGAGGAAGACTGGGGTGTATTGTCAGAGGTGGGGGGCGGGGATGTGGGGGCAGGAGGGCCCAGGGCAGCCAAAGGCAGTGTCCACTGGGCTGGGGACGTGTGAACAGGTGGGGGCGGGAGGGGGGAGAATCAAACCGGTTGAAGAATTGGTTAAATTCATCTGCCCGGTGCTGGTCTCCATCCGCTGTCCCGCTGGCCCTTTGTCCACAGCCAGAGATGTTCTTTAGGCCTCTCCACACGTCACAGGCGTTTCCCTGGGCCAGCTTCTGCTCCAGCTTTTTCCCATATTCTCTCTTGGCCCTCCTGATCCTCCACTGGAGCTCGTGCTGGATCCTCTTCTGCTCCTCTTTGTCCCCTGAGATGAAAGCCCTTTTCTTGAGGTTCAGGAGGGCTTTAAGCTCAGAGGTCATCCATGGTTGGTTGTTAGAAAAACACCGTACCTTCTTAGTTGGTACAGTGTTATCCACACAGAAGAGGATATAGTCTGTAATACAGTGTGTCAGGCCAATATCATTATTCCTACTGTGAAGGGGAAAACATTTTTTTCCCCAAATTCTTGCCTGTAGTAGCTAGCTATCATTGAATGGGAGCTACTACACCCATCAAATCTGGGAAAAAAGTCTTTGTTGATTTTTAGTGAATTTTTCCAATTTCATTTTCATTACTGTGAAGGGGAAAACAATATTTTTCCCAAAAGTTTGGCTGTAGTAGCTAGCTATCATTGAATGGGAGCTTCTACACCCATCAATTCTGGGAAAAATATCTTTGTTGATTTTTAGTGAATTTTTCCAATTTTATTTTTGCTACTGTGAAGGGGAAAACAATATTTTTCCCAACATTTTGGCTGTAGTAGCTAGCTATTGTTAAAATGGAGCTACTACAAGCATCAAAACTGGGAAAAATATCTCTGTTGATTTTTTGTGAATTTTTCCAATTTCATTTATGCCACTGTGAAGGGGAAATCAAAATGTTCCCAAAATGTTGCCTGTAGTAGCTACCTATCATTAAATGGGAGCTACTACACCCATCAATTCTGGGAAGAATATCTTTGTTGATTTTTAGTCTTTATTAGTCGTTTTGACCTCTTGCAATTTGCAGACGGTCCCTTGCGAATATCAGGCGAATATCAAACGTTCGGCCAACTTCACCTCGGTCTGTATGGCAGGGTACGACATTTTATTTTTTTCTTTCATTTGATGTATTTAAGCTGTAAATTATGCATTTCTTGGGTATTTTACAGTAAGCATATATATGTGTTTGTATTGTTGATGCACCAGTATAGGCTACATACATAACTTTACATAATTACATTATATTGAATACATACATTGTATTCCCTGTATGAGCACAACATGGAGCGAGAAGAACAACAAATGTATAATTTCCCTCTCATTCAGCATTGTTGTCATGTTTTGAATCTGATGAAATATACAATTCTATTAAACTAATTATACCACACTGCAACAGACCGACTATACAGAGCATGGTCCCAGCAACAATTCTTCTTTCAGAGTTGTCCCCTCAATTAATAATCTTTGTATTATACAGTAATTACACAACTGTATTATTCATTCACATATTTTTAATTATATATTTAGTCTGTTTATGTTAATGCTTGTCTGACTAAATTATTTATCATATCCTCCTGACATTAATGTCCTAATTTGTTTCAGATTGTCTGAATCTTGCTCTCATGTTGGAGCGATTCTGTTTGCAACAGAAGCTGGCTGCAATATGAGAAGCACTGCCTCATGCACAAGTGAAAAATGCCAGTGGCTCATGCCGTCTCATGTTAAAAAGGTATTGTTTATAAGATATGTTTTAATTTTATTGTTTGAATGAAAACTTAACATGTCTTTATAACTTCAGATACCAGCTGCACCAGTAGCCTCAATAGATTTTACTTCTGCTCAAAGTAAAAAGAAGAAACTAGACCATGTGATTTCAGGGGGGTCAGGTAAGTATGTTGCTATAGTATGAGTTTCTCCAGGATTAAAAGGAATTGAGTTATTTTTTGCATATTGCTTTACACTTCTCCAGGCAAGATTTCAGAGAGCAGCACTTCAGAACACTACTGTCCTAACGTAGATAAAGGCTCGAAAACTATTGTGCAGTTTTTTGAGGATTTAAAAAACAACTTGCCAAGAAGTGCTGCCTTGATGCTTAGGGCACCATATTACCAAGACTTTATTCCCAAATCTATATCGATACTGCCAAAAACTCTTCTTGCCTATCGAACAACAGACACCGTGGAGCTTTCTCCAGCCGAGCTTCAGGATGCATGCAGGGGCTTCAGTTTTGAGGAGCTCAGTGAAGCGCAGGTTAAAGCAGTAGAGGAGGCAACCAGAAAACAGAGCTCCTCAACAATCTGGTTCAACCAAAGAGCAGGAAGAATAACTGCATCCAAGTTGAAACAGGTTGTGCAGGGAAGTCTACAAAGACCATCTAAGGCTCTGATAAAGTCAGTCTGCTACCCAGAAACACAAAAGTTTTCAACAGCAGCAACAAGGTATTTATTAGGGAAAGGTAAGGGAGGAATAATAATTTGTTTGCACGGCTACCAAGTTCTGTTTAACTTGAGGCAGGGCATGTTTTATTTGAAAAGGTTCATATTGCAAACTTTTATTTTTCCCCCTCACTATTTTACATTTCAGATATGGCTGTAAATTTGAGGCAACTGCTCGAAAAAAAAATGAGCAGCTTGAAGGCCAGTCCCATGAGGGATTTTGTTGTGTGGATAGTGGGCTGTGGCTAAATCCAAAGTGGCCCTACATGGGAGCTTCACCTGATGCTCTTGTTTATTGTGACTGCCACGGAACTGGGGTTTGTGAGATAAAGGTAAGACAAATGCAGACTTTTTGCTGTAGGGTTGGTCGATCTGGGAAAACAAGTTTTAACTATGTCTGTCAAAGTTAACACTTTAATTCATGCAATTAATCACAATAAAATTATGCTTTAATCAGAGATTAATCTCAGAGCCTGGTGTCTCCCAAAGCTTCCCTGACCAGAGCAGGGACACAGTGCTCTGAGCACACCGGTCACATTCACACATTTCTTGTAATACAGCACCATTTCAATATTAAACTTCAAAAAACAAATGTTAACATATTAATGTAGTAATCATGATTATGTTAACATTAGAGATCCAATCTTTAATGTTCATTATTTTTCAGTGTCCAGAGAGCAAACAGCATGAGGTCAGTCTGAAAATGTGCGCAGGCCAGCCAGGATTCTGTCCCATCAGGGAGGGAGAGTTTGTACAGCTTGACAGGAATCATCCATATTATTATCAGGTTCAGGCTCAGCTTCACATTTTGGATGTAAAATACTGCGACTTCATAGTTTGGAATAAAAATGATATATATATCGAAAGGATACTGCCTGACATACAACTCTGGGATACTGTGATCCCCGTTGTTCAGCAGTATTTCACGCATTGCATCCTCCCCGAAATATTAGGGCAGAAATTCACACGTGAATAACAAAACAATTGTTTGCGTTTTTCTTCTATTTCAGCTGGAGTCAGGGGCCAATATAACTTAGAAATAGCAGTTTTTATAAAAACATGTTGAAAAACATAATTACATTATTAGATTCACAAAGCCCTAAATTATTCTGAAGTTTCTACTGGCCAACAGCATACATGTTTTTGAGTAGTTTCACCAACACTAGACATTTAGAAAATAATTAGTTGATATGTTTCATGTACATATCACATCTAAACGAAGACTAAAAAAGTGAGACACTTTACAGTAATTAGCAAACTACCCTCCACCAAAAGGTGAATGTTGTCACATGAACGCAACACAGATGTAAATAAAGTGGTTTGTTCTTACTCTTTAAATGTTTGTCTATCCTTCTGTTACTTCACTTAATAAATAGCACTTTCAATGTTTGTGTAAAAAATAAATGGTTTGAACGATGGATGTTTTCAGTGGTCTTTTCATTTTCTTGAAGATTAATTTTAATCACAGCTTATTTACAAGATTAAAGATGTTTGTTACATTTTTTTGGGAGTGTGAAAAAGATTAAATAGTAATAATTGAAAACCATAAATCTTCTCTTGCCACCCTGGTAAAGCAACACTGGAAGAGTTATCTGTCTCGTGGTGACAATTGCTTCCTGCGTGTTTAATACATTTAAATGCTCTACATTTTGATTAAACCACTCAACTATTTACATGCAATAACTTCTTTACTCCAGAGAAACAATAGACTCTGATAGATTGGTCAGCGCACAGCAAATTGCAGCGATTTTATCAACCAATGCCAGTGAGTCGCTTGTTTTGACAGCCATATGTTCAAGAGGCATTGCCCTACTCTGCAAAATTTGAAATTTTCTCCTAACTAAGCCAATTACCCTCTCAACATGAATTCGGACACTTGCCAGTTTTCTGGTTTCTTCAACATCATAGGCAGACAGCTGTTTCTTTCCTCTTGTGAACGCAGGGGTCTTCAAAGAAGCGCAGTACAAGCCTACACTATCGTTCACAGTGAAACCCCAACATCTCCAGGCAACAACTTATTCAAGATGCCACACTTCTCTGTAAGTTGTTTGTCACTGGTCCTCCCTCCCCATGCCTGTGAAATAAAGGTAACATAACCCTGAGGAGCAATGCCAATAAGAAATGTAATTGTATTGTGATGCTTATAGTTGGACCAGGTTTGTGCTCTTGCCAAAAGATTTGTAGGCCTTTCTATGAATACTTCAAAACAGTCCACTATCACTGCAACTTTAAGTCCAAAAGCTTTTCTGAATGACATGGGCATGGTTGATTGTAACACTTCTCGATCAGGCCACTCTATCAGATATTCTAGTCTTTTGTGGAGAATGTGAATCAATTTATGCATAGTTTTGGACACAGTGCCTGTTGATACATTGAATCGATATGCAAGATCTTGGAGCTGAAGGTTTAATCTTAGACGCATTAATACCATTATAAATTGTTGAAATTCAGATAGTACTGACATAGGTGATACAGTGATGTATGGTTCACAGAGCTGAAAAATTTGCATCAAAACCAAAAAATTGGGAAGTCCAGTGTAAAATTTAGTTTTGTCTTCATTCTGAAATGACTCTGGTGTGAATGTGAAGTCTGAAACGGTTTTCTGGAGGTTGCAGATCTCAGATGTATCACATCTCATAGACTCCTCCATCCTTGTGATGTCAGCCATGGATAGAGACGTCTGGCATGCTGCATCTACACATTTTTGAAAAGAACAAATGACAATGAATAGCTAACCAGGAACTACTCATATCCATCACATACAGACAGAGAGACAGACACATACACACACGGAGTACAAAATAATTGTATATACAAGTAAAAAAAGTACCGTGCTTACCCTTGAAGTGTTCCTCTTCGTGAATTGATGATCTTTCATCACAGACGTCAGGTGTGGATGTGGGAGCCTCCTCAGAGGATGTAGAGGGGCTCTCCCGAGCTGCAGCCCTTTGCTTCCTCTGGAGCGATGCTTCAGTTTGTGGCTTTCCACGTTGATACCCGAGGTTTAAAGTGGGCCCAGTCAGGTGATTTCACGTCAACAGGTGCACTCGGGCGCCCTGAAATATAAATAATAATGTGTATAAAACGGCAATGTGAAGTGTAGAAGATGTCAAATGTTTTTTCAAGTATACTTTAGTTGCCAGGGTTTACAGTGCACTTTGGACATGCTTATTGTTTTGAGAAAAAAAAAAAAAAAAAAAAAATATATATATATATATATATATATATAAAATCACTCAATGACATTTTGCTTAAAGCTGCACTAACTGACTTTATTTTTGTATTCATTACTAAAATGCTATCCATGTCCATGTAGTGCATTGGGATATACATCATTTTGAAGAAAAAGTAGCGCAGATTTGTGCTGGCGTGACATTATATTTTAGATCGAGTTTTGATGAAACAAGGAAGAGAATGTGTTTCGGGTCGCAGATTGTGACCAATAGCAGCGCACCACTAGCCCCCACTTTCGTGACAAATCTACAGGTCCGTTAGCACAGACGGCTGAGTTAGCACAACAAGCGGCGGAGCTAACCTGAAACTTCGTGTGTCTTCGTCACCGGGTACTGCTTACACAGCGAGACATCCATCCAAAAGAAAGTCTCGTTCCTCCGCGCTTCCCGGTTCTATCGTTCTATGGTCACGCCATCCACGTGCAAATCCATGTCCATGTATTTATCCATATTGGGAGACACTAACTCCGTCCCAACGGTGGGTGTGTGTGGGGGGCGATAGCTTCGTGGGTGTGGGGAGGGGAGCAGAAAGAGCGAGGCCAGCGAGTCTGCTGCTTCAAAATCCCAAAGTCAGTTAGTGCAGCTTTAATGAATACATTCACAACTATCACTTTAATTTTCACATAAAAATAAAATAATAACACAGACAATGCAGTTACGTAATATTGTGTACAGACAAGTATGTAAAGCTCATTGAATCAGTGAGTTGGATGTAATGATTTATCAGATCCACCAGGCGTCAGTATAGAGCAGCACAAGCAACAGTTCGTTTGATGTGCCGAAACGATACGTGAGGTTTCATTTACCCATCACTAGACGCTACCTTTGGGACACAAAAAAAACCCTTGTCCTTCTCACGATTCGAGCGGTTGCTGCATCCATAGACAGCACAGCATTTCGGCATTTTGAGATCGAATCGAGGCAACTTTACACGTATTTCAATGGGCCGTTTTACTTCCTGACCCCAGGACAACTTTCGCGCCTTTGCCGTGACGTCACCCGAAACCCAGGTTTCTGCTCCGGCCAATCAGAACACAGCACACCTTGACCATATTAGGAGTGCAGCAGAGCGCCTAGAAAGGTTGTCTGGTGGAATAAATTAGGACATGTTGGGTATACCTTTACAATAATAATAAAATATATATATATATAAAATAATATATACGCAGACATTGCTACGTCTATAATATGCTGCTGAAATGGTGTGAAATAGACTGTGTTTGAGAGTACTATATCTACTCAGAAAAATGTTTTTAGTTATAAGAGACAAGATTAAAGCCGCAAGCGGCGTCAAACGGCCCTCGCCGCACCGCGCACACCACCCCGCACCGCGCGCACCACCCCGCGCACCACCCCGCACCAAGCTGCCCAGCACCAAGCCGCCCCGCATCAAGCCGTCCCGAATTAAGCCACCCCGCATCAAGCCGCCCCGCACCAAGCCGCCATGCATTAAGCCGCCCCGCACCACGCCGCCCCGCACCAAGCGGATCTGCACCACGCCGCCCCGCACCAAGCCGCAACGCCCCGCACTACGCCGCACCACACCGTACCACGCAGCACCGTGCAAATGAGGTGGGGCCGCCGTGGGATGATTTGTTGCTGTTGCCATAGAAGAACGTTAGTCAAATTGTAATGAATATGATGATTAGAGCTGTTTGGCACCCCATGTAAAACTTTGCCTCAATCTGTAGGGGGCGCTATTGGGCCAATTTCAAATATTTCACTTTCACCTGACCTAAACCCCGGAGTTGAACCATGGATTCAAGTTTTGTGCAAATCAGACTTTGTTTGTGCAAACAGGAGCAAAATTATTGTTGTGAAAAACGGTCAAAAAACACTCACATTTTGCCGCACCGCTGCTCAAACAACTGATCAAAAATCCCTTTGGTCATTTTGAAGGTACATGTGTTGAGATGATCTGGAGCGATTTTGAGGCAAATCGATGTAACGGCCGAGGAGGAGAAGATTTCCAACCAACATGTATGAAAATTATTGTGGATAATTTTTCCATTTTGCAGTGAAATTTATGGGCTTCCTGTTTGTCAGAGGGCGGAGCCATGATAACATTTCGGTCGTATCTTGACTTGAGGAACATGTGTACTGAATTTCATGGCTCTACGACAAACTTGACCTCTGAAACTCCCATTGGCTGTTGTAGGTGGCGCTGTTCTGGCATTTTTTGAGTCCCATAAAAATAAACACCAAAATATCAAATTTTTCACCAGGTCTGATGTTTGGGCAAAATTTTACAACTTTTCATGTATGTTCAGGGGGTGAAATTAAGGCTCAAAGTGCAGAATTTGACATCTCTCGAGCAAAAACAATAGGCCCGAGTCGGGCTTTTACTCGTCCCACTTTACAGCTTTTACTCGTCCCACTGTGGGGAGTAAGAGCACATAAAATATACAATATAAATAGCTGTAATAGAGGATATTGAATACCTGCTTTAAAAAGTATTGCGGCACGTAATGTGTTTTATGGTCCACAGAGAGTACTGTATTCTGAATACTTCTGAATACTTTTTATTACTTATTTTAAATGCAGAGTAGGATTAGAAGAACATTGTGTGTGTGAACTGGCATGTTTAGTTATTGTTCGTAATAGGACGGATATTCAAGTTACATAGGAAAACATTTAAGTTCACATAACCTTATATGTGATTCATCGTACGTATCAATAAAGAATATACAGATTTTATGTGTCCTGTAGATTAATATGTCGGATGTTTTTAGAAGACGTTTTCTTGACAAATGTAAGCCTTAGAGCATGTAGCAAGTAATTTAATCATGTTGAAATATGTCTTAATATATTTGAACTTCCCCATTGCGTCTGTCTCTTTGGTTTTTATTTGCATTATAAGGGCAGAGATTCATGGAAGGTGAAAACAGATCTATGACTTAAATGCTGAATACAGGATTGCTGACACCGTGCTGTCTAGAACCAGGAAGTACGACCACATTAGTCCGGTCCTCAGGTTTCTGCACTGGCTTCCCGTGGCCCAGAGGATAGACTTTAAAGCAGCTCTCCTGGTGTACAAGTCTCTCCATGGCCTTGCACCAAAATATATTAGTGACATGTTAGTACCATATGAACCAGCCCGGACTCTGAGGAGCGCAGGGACGGGACTCCTGTTAGTGCCCAGAGTCAGGACTAGACAGGGGGAGGCTGCTTTTCAGATTTATGCAGCTAAAGTCTGGAACAGTCTTCCTGAGGATGTGAGACTGGCTGCCTCTCTGTCAATGTTCAAATCCATGTTAAAGACTTTTCTTTTTTCCTGTGCATACAACTAAAGAATTTTATCTTTTTAACACACCTTGTTATTTATTGTTGTAACTTTTTGTGTTTTTAACTATTTTATTGTTTTTAATTACTTGTGTGATTCTTATGTTTTTAAATTACTTATGTGATTTTAATGCTTTTTAATTACATATGTGTTTTTAATTGTATTTTAATGGTGATGATTTGTGCATTGTGTGGTGTGGACTGTGAGGCGCTTTGTGTTGCCCTGTGCAGGAAAAGCGCCCTATAAATAAAGATTGATTGATTGATTGATTGATTGTGGTAAGGTGACAGATTCTATTTGTGATGTGACGTGTATGTGGGTGATTCTCATGGATGTCACCCCTGTCAATTCTGTCAGTGACTTCAGATCCTCCCTCAGATCAGATAAGTAGATGAGCAGCAGCCTCTTCCTAAACAAACAGTGGTTGATGTTCACAGTGAGAACTCTATTTACTGTCTGTAGACTTATATCGGACATGTTTTACTGTTTGTAAACTTATATCAGACATGTTTTAGTGTATGTAAACTTATATTAGACATGTTTTACTGTGTGTGAACTTATATCAGACATTCTTTACTCTTTCGTAACCGTTATTATAATAGATCCATGCTCTAAACTTATATCAAAGATGTTTTACTGTTTACAAACGTATATCAGACATGTTTTTACTGTTTGTGGAGAAGCTTCAGACTTTTGATTGGACGTGACGCACTGACGTATGCGCAGTCCGGAAGTGTCGCTCAGGTCACTGCTAAAAAAAACTTCCGCCTTAAGTTGTAAAGAAAACAGTCCGCTAAAGGCTCCGCCGCGTTACGAGGCTTTCGGAGGAGCCCGAGCAAAGGTACAGAGCTGTTTGTACTCTATGTGTGCCCATCTCTACATGTGCCAGAACACAGAGCGCTCACACACTTTAGCTTTACTTTATGCAAATATACAATGTACTGGAGCTCAAGCGTAGGCTAGGCTAGCACTGTGCTAGCATCGAGAGCTCCGCCACAGGCCTCGATTCAACGCTCTTACGTCCTGATCTTGTCACATTTGTGATTGTGAATAACATTCAATCATTTTAACAGTACGTCCCATGTGCTGTTTTCTGGAACCTACACATAATTATATGTTCTGACCGTCTGACGCTCTGTATTCATTCCAAGGCTTACACCTAGTGCTAGTCACTTTAGCCTCCAGCTAACGAACCTTGGGCTTTCAGACATGGACACAAACACATTCGTATCGCTCTGTAAATCTTTCTTATGATTAGCTAACGTTAGACTTCGTTAGCGTTTGGTGAAAACATGTTTGTTCTCGAACGTATCCACAGTTAAACAGTGTTGAAATGAGGGCTGGGTGGGTGCATGTCTGATGTGACAGCAGTGCTTCCTGATGCTTCACCTGTCCTGGGTATTTACTATGTCCTTTGGATCGGATCCATGTTCCCTGCACCTGCCCTCTGCACCTGCCCTTTGCCCTTGTCCTCTCTCAGATTCATACTCTGATCATGTAATCCACATTTTCCCTGAATACTATGCCCACTACATCTGTCACGGTCACTGTCAGAGACTCCGCATTAAAAGTTGATGCGTTTATTACAAAGTAATAGTCCTACTTGTGTAACGTTAGGACCACATTTTTAAGACGCTTTTGCGTTCAAGTTTATATGTAATGTTTTGGGAAATGTCATCGCAGTGAATAGTGGTGTAATGCAGTTGTTACACTAAAACACATGGAAAATTTACTCTATTTTTTTGCTATTCTTATCTATTTTTTTTTGCTATTCTATTCTGTTAAATTCAAGTTGCAATATGGCTGAACTGTGGCTTCAGGCTCCCCTTGGCTTAGACCAAACAATCTTTAGCCTTTAGACATATTGTTAGAAAACTATTTCAAATATTGATGATATGTTGAATGGATTTTGGCACTGGCACAAATGCAATGAAGTATTCATCCAAATGGTAATCTACTTATTACAGCAAATATATACTACAGTAATGATGAATTCTGAGCTCCAAAATGTTTTAATACATTTTGATGGATGACGTATTGCTAGGTGATGATTGGTTAAGATTATTTATTCAAACCTTTTTTTTACCAATTAAATTATTACCTTTTTTATAGCATGATAATCCCAGTAATCTACTGTGTCTTTAGAACCTTCCAAATATGGGGTGAAACAAACAGACTGAAGCAACGCTTTGCATTGCTTCATTCTGAGACAGATTCATTGCTCTCCAACTCAAATTTCATCATATTAGAAAGAAAATGGCAAACCACTTGAGAAAATTGTAAAAGCAAAGTGCAGACATTTGTGCTTCAAATTATATGTTTCGATCCTGCTGTCTTTTATTGAAGTTATTTTAATTATCGAGTCAAATTCAGATTAATCTCATTTTTGTGTATCCCAAGATCACAACAGCAGTAGTCTCAACCGATCTCACAGAATGGACGACGCGATTATTAAATACAACTATTATAACTCTAGGAGAGCCAATGATCAAACATAATAGTCCGTATGTCCATAAATGCTCTGGATCATCCCTTGTCCTTGGACTCTCCTGCTTCAGCGAGGACACACACAAAATCCAGTGATGCTGTAATACAATGTAAAAAGACTTGAATTGTGCTGAAATCTGGTTTTGTGGTTTTATATATTCTTTGCTATGTGTGTGTCTCTGCAGGTGCTTCAGTGTGGAGGCTGGCTGCTCCTCTCCGTGGGTGTGCGTGCGTGTGAGTGGGTGAGTGTATGCGTGTGTGAGTGAGTGTGGAGGGTGAGTCTTTTCTACACGAGCTGCTCCTCTGCTGACGATGACAATGGAGGAGATGAAGAATGAAGCGGAGACCAACTCCATGGTATCCATGACGCTGTACGCTGTGATGTACCCAGTGTTTAATGAGGTGAGTCTCGTGTGTTTGTGCTGTCGCTCTTGAGGCCTCTGTTATTGTTGCAAAGAACTCGGACAGTGATGCTTCCTGTGTTTTCTGTCATTAGCTGGAGAGGATTAATCTGTCGGCAGCACAGACACTCAGAGCAGCCTTCATTAAGGTAAGAATCAACACTTCCTGTTACTTTACACTTTGACTGCACACTTTTGTAGACCTCACTAATTGCGATTCAATTTGCGATTTCTGTCATGGAGCTAGCATGTGTGTTTGTGTAGAATTCAAATGATGGTAAAAGCAAAAACTGAAAAGTTAGAAGTTGTTGCATTTCTTTATTTGTGAATTTTATATTTTCACTGTTCAATTTAAATAAGGAAATGATTGTTTAAAGTCCCACTGTGCTTAAAACAGAGTGAGATAAGACTGGACTTTCTTTTTCCATTTGCAGATAACAGTCACAGCCTTATTTGAGCTCATTAACATGCACGTGGGAACCAGTGATGGAGTTGAATTGTTTGAGAGAGAGCAAATATTTACATGGATTATTATCTCGTTCCAATTTTTGTGGTTAAAAGGTTAGGTACCACAGCTGTAATTCAATAAGGGCTGGAGAATCTTTTGGGGAGGGGGAAACCCAACCTTTTGTTTTTTTCATATTTTTTATTTATTATAATTTGATATAGAACTAGGGGAGAATTTCAATTTAACTTAATTCAAGGATGATTATTACAATTATTAGCATCTGAAGCCAAATATCCTGAAAAGCGATTGAAGAAGGATCTTTATCTCCTAAATGTGTAAATTGAATGGATTTTTAAAAATATTCATTATGGGAAATTATGTGAAAGAACCAATGCTGCACTGGCTTTAACTTCCTCTGATCCATGAGAGTGAAAACTATGATATTAGTTCTAAATAATGCAAATGTATTTAGACAAATAGAGTAACACTGCATAGAGTACTAACAGAGTAATAAAGAACTGCACATCCTTGTGTTTTAAAGTGATTGTCTGGAGTTTGTCAAAAAAAAGAGAGAGAGGTACATGATTTGAATAAAACAACCCAAGCTCCCTCCCTCTTCCTTTCTGATTTGGTCTACACCTAAGTTTCCCTAACAATCAATCAACACATTTAAATGTTAATCTGAGAACACATTATACATACATATTATTAATACACATGCACAGAGGTTTTCAGAATTATTTGTTAACGTTTTCATGACAAAAATAATGCGATTTGTGGTAAACCCGGAAGTAGCTATTATCATTAATTGAACATTACAGGACACATCTGCAGAGGATCTGATTATGGATATAGGTTCAGTATATAAATAATTATGGATATGTTCAGTATATAAATGATTATGGATATAGGTTCAGTATATAAATGATTATGGATATATGTTCAGTATATAAATGATTATGGATATATGTTCAGTATATAAATGATTATGGATATATGTTCAGTATATAAATGATTATGGATATAGGTTCAGTATATAAATGATTATGGATATAGGTTCAGTATATAAATGATTATGGATATAGGTTCAGTATATAAATGATTATGGATATAGGTTCAGTATATAAATGATTATGGATATAGGTTCAGTATATAAATGATTATGGATATAGGTTCAGTATATAAATGATTATGGATATGTTCAGTATATAAATGATTATGGATATATGTTCAGTATATAAATGATTATGGATATAGGTTCAGTATATAAATGATTATGGATATAGGTTCAGTATATAAATTATTATGAATATATGTTCAGTATATAAATGATTATGGATATAGGTTCAGTATATAAATGATTATGGATATAGGTTCAGTATATAAATGATTATGGATATAGGTTCAGTATATAAATGATTATGGATATAGGTTCAGTATATAAATGATTATGGATATAGGTTCAGTATATAAATGATTATGGATATAGGTTCAGTATATAAATGATTATGGATATGTTCAGTATATAAATGATTATGAATATATGTTCAGTATATAAATGATTATGGATATAGGTTCATATATAAATGATTATGGATATAGGTTCAGTATATAAATGATTATGGATATAGGTTCAGTATATAAATGATTATGGATATAGGTTCAGTATATAAATGATTATGGATATAGGTTCAGTATATAAATGATTATGGATATAGGTTCAGTATATAAATGATTATGGATATAGGTTCAGTATATAAATGATTATGGATATAGGTTCAGTATATAAATAGGTAACTCAGCGCGGATGTTCAGAATTCTTTTAAGTTTTCAAGTAGTTCCAGAGCCATATAAAGGCTTGATTCGGAGGCTCCGTGAAAACAAATTACTGAGCATACGCGGAGCTACGAACAACAGCGCGATGATTGACAGCCCTTGGCATCACTTGATTGGTTAACGTGGACGGCATCGTGGATTTTGAGCTATAGCTAAGAGAAGGGAAGGCGGGACTTACCCGTGATATTAGAATTCATAAAATGACTTATTTTATATCAACATTTAAGGCCAGGAGGTCAATTTAATACAATTCTCAACATTTGTAATTCATTTAGAGTTCCAGACTATCACTTTAAGTTGTAAATATTGGTGGCATCTCGTGTGATTTCAAATGAACTGTTGATGTTTTCATTGTGCCTAAGTGAAGTTCCTGGACGGCTGTCGTCCAGCGGTCACGTTAACGAAGTGGACGTTGAGCTCATTAGATCAGAGCTGATACCGGGCTCCTGTCTGTGTCGGAGGGTCTCTCTGCGATCTCAGGGGGCAACAGGACTCATTAATGCTGTTTTCTGTCCTCTAGGCCGAGAGGGAAAACCCCGGTCTGACTCAGGACATCATAATGAAGATCCTGGAAAAAAAGAATGTGCAAATTAACTTCACGGAGTCTCTACTGCGCATGGCGGCGGACGACGTGGAAGGTATGGGGCTGCAAGGACACACCGGGAGGATGCTCTTGGTTACATATGGCAAAAATCAGCATCACCAGTGTTAGGAGTACACATAAATAATAATAATGATAATGATAATGCATTGGTTTTCTATAGTGCTTTTTCGGACACATGTCATTATTCTTTTACTCCATACATGGTGGTGTTAAACTACTACCAATCAATATAGTTTCAAACAATTCTGGCCAATTTAACCTCTTAAGATTACATATGAAGACTATAGCGGATCAATAGGTTACGTCAATTTACAGATAACAGAGTTTACACATCATTCTAATCGTCAGATTTTTTTGTTGTTCTTGTAAAGCATGTTTGAATCCGATTGTAGTGCTTAACTACAGCTACAGACATAGAGCTGCAGTGCTGTGTTTCCCGTTGGTGTTGGTCGCTCGGTGTGTGTGAAAAGCAATTTGTTTGCAGAGTTCATGATCGAGCGACCGGAGCAGGAGTTCCAGGACCTGAACGAGAAGGCCCGGGCTTTGAAAAACATCCTCAGCAAAATCCCAGACGAGATCAACGACAGAGTACGCTTTCTACAGACCATCAAGTCAGTACAACTACATGTGCATAAGTATTTAAGTAGGAAAACATGGGTCACCAACTGTGGGTGGGCTTGCATCTCCACAGAGCTGACTCTGACTGGTCCACTTCTCCTCTGGCTTTTTAATCTTTCTTCTCTTTAGAACTACAGATGGATAACATGTTGATAATGTTCCTACCAAAAGTTGCACTGAGGCTGTACGTCACACTATCAATATATCACAGGTTTAAAGTATGGGTTTTAGACAAGTTAGTTGGAAGTAATGGATTAACATTTTCTACAGTTGATGTTGATGTTAAAGTTACAGTGTGTAGTTTTGTCTTGTTCCTTGATTTCAGCATGAATCCAGTTTTCTGCATGTTTGTACACTTAGGCCACTGTCCACTGAGTTGTATGTCATTTCCCGTACAGTTTCCTCATTAAAGCTCTTTGGAACAAGAGCGGGTTAGGCCTGTGGAGAAGGAAGCTGCTCCCTGGGATGATGCATGTTTTTTTCTTCAGTGCATGGATTCTAGTCCCTTTTTTGTCAAGTTTCCCAGAGGTGTTGAAATCATTGAACTAGTATTGAATTTGAGGCTGCCAAATGACTTCAAAGCTTTAAACCTCGCAAAAAGGAAGAAAAGGGGCTTTACATTTGAAAGATTGTGCCATTATAATATCATTAGGTATAAACCAATTATATAAATATTATAAAAAGAGGACGATTAATGAAATGCATAGATATAGTTTAATAATACACATGATAGACAAAAGAATACTTACAAAATCTTCTATTGTCTTCATTTAAAGGGGAGTTTTGATCCTTTAGGTTTTACTGAATCATATTTTTTTTTTAGAAATGTATTGTATTAAATTGAAAGCCTCCCTGATACCCAGCCCTACATGCACACTAAGACCAAAGATAAGGCCGAGGTCTTGAACCAGGTCTGGCCCAAGGCAGAGTTTGATCTCCACAGGGTCTACAGCCCATGACTGAGAGACTGAGCTTCTTTTAGACCAGTCCATGTCCTAATGCGGCTCTGTAATTTTAAGTGGCCTCCTCCAATGATAACCTACTTTAGTCGTTGAGATTGTATACAAGTGCGGTGTCATCCAGTCAACTTCAGCTCCTGTCAATAATAGGTATTCTTTACTTTGTCGGAAATCTGTAGAATCCAGCTGTTTACTTTTACTCAGTTTGGGGCGGCAGATGATCGTCCTTCAGTTCTCGTTGGGCCCCTGTGTTTCCTTCATTACGCAACATGGCTTGTAATCGGTTCATTTAACAGGATATAAAGTGGTTCATGTAACAGGATATAAAGTATCTATAAGAACCTGTATAATTCTCTCACAACAACCCTCGTCATTATTAAAATCTAAAAATCAATAATCGTTAAGTTCTAAAAAAGTTGCCATAATGAAATCTGGGACTATGGTCTAACGGTTTCATATCGAGACTCCAAGCTCTGTATCCCTTTTTCATTGCTGTGGTTTTGTTGCCCGCTTACAGAGACATCGCCAGCGCCATAAAAGAATTACTGGACACAGTCAACAACGTCATTAAGAAATATCAGTACCAGAACCGCAGAGTAAGCACTTTCTCCTCACCCTCTGGATTCATATTAGTCTTAATCTGTTTCATCCTTTATTAAATATGTGCTTCTTCCTCCTCAGGCCCTGGAGCACCAGAAAAAGGAGTTTGTCAAGTACTCCAAAAGTTTCAGTGACACCCTCAAAACATACTTCAAAGACGGAAAGTGAGTCAGCTGCTATTTTATGTTGATGCTTCTTTCTCACACAAGGTCACAGTCCGGTTACTTTCTGTTGACACAAACCGGACTAAACCCAGGACTTAAACATTATTGACTGCATATGTCATAACAGGGCTGTACGTCTTTAGTATTTCAGTCTATTTAATGGTTGGTGTCTTGGTCCAGTGTTCCCCAACCATTTTGAGCTGTGCCACATCTTTTTCATTGCTAAAAACCACGTTTGTTAACAATGCAATTCATTCTGATCAATGTGTGAGTAGTCAAACAAATGAGCACAAAGCGAGAAAAAGTAGTTTTCTATCGACAAGAATCTCTCTATTATAAATATAAGCATGAAAAGTTATGGAGAAAATGGGACTTGATTTGATATTATTGGTATTTAAGTAATTTAACCTCTCCCAATGTCTCTTTAGTTTATCTTGTCTTGTGACACACACCTTTTTATATATATATATCAGTTTGGAGAAATTTTTTTTTTGTTTCAATCTGTTGACTAAGGTTTTTTTTTTAATCAATCAGACCAAAACAAAGCTAAACACACACAATCTTCATAGAGATATAGCATAATTTCAATTGTTTTTTAAAATGTTTTTCTAATCAAACAACATCATTCTGTAGTAATTAGTCATAAACCTCTTGGCTCGGTTCAAAAGCTGATTCATCGATGACTAAATCAGTTGGTATTTGTTGACTATTTCAATAATGGGCTAGTTGTGACTAATAGATGAACTTTATATATCTTCCTTGCAGTGTCTTAGTTTATTTTGACTCTCTCCTGGTGTTATTCTGTGCAGTTTTCCTCCATCACCACGCCCTGGAAAGAGCAGTTTCATTGCGTGGGTGGGTGTGGGCTTTCCTAAACATCACCCTCTCCCTAATGCTGTAAATGTGATTTAATAAATCGCAGGGGCAGACAAAACACTATTTTTTACAATTGGCTGTCAAAGCACGCCCACACTACTGCTGAGGCTTCTTCATTTCTTCCTTCCAAACCGTTTTTAACCAAGATTAAGATGTCGAGATGAAGAGCTCAAAATACCCCAGAAGCGAAATTTGCGATACCAAACAAGCTGTCCGCGTTTTCACCTTTTTGACATCTTTAGGCAGAAAGTGCAGTTAATTAAAAAGTGATTTAGACAACGTCCCAATTATAACGCTGAAATGTCTTTGTAATGACTGCGGGCATAAAAGCAGTGTCTCTTTATGGACTCGCGGCCCCGCTCCGAGTCACCAGTTAACAGCGGCTGCCAAGCTCCAGTAATTATAATTTGTCTGGCAGCTAATTTGAAGGCGACTATTCAGCAGCGGAGGGGCCACTCTGTAAATAATGTTTAGAATAAATGGTGGTGTAATAATTGGTTGTAGGATCGAGCGTGTTGTATGTGCAGTGCTGTTTACAAGCCGTGTCATCAGGGAGACGTATGCGCCAGACCGAGCAATAGTTCAGAGCTGTGTCGGATTTAGTTTTTAGTCCGACTCGTTCAAGTTTGGTAGTGCAGACTGCTTTTCGGTTCTTTCCATTTGCAGAGGTCAAACAATATTTTAAGGTGTTGAAATATTAATGCAAGGTTTATTTGTATAGCACATTTCATACCCAAGGCAACTCAAAGTGCTGAACAAAAAAAGACAGAAACAACCACACAAGAAATTAAAATCATAAATATTCACTTTACATTAAAAAGCGTAAAGATAAAATCCCTCAGTGGTATGCACAACTAAGCAGAGGGGGGGGACCCAAGTCTCATAGCACCAGTCCCTCGCTGATCCTCCTGCAGGTGGTGAGTCCACAGGAAGATGGATTCTCTGTCATCGACTAGATGTCCTTGCCCACGACCGTTGGGTCCAAAGACCAGTGCTCTACCAACTGAGCTACCGTCGCCCCAATATGACAGACTCCTCTGAGGAGAAGTCACTTATATCAAGCTTGTATTTGTTTACATTTTGATAATTGGTTTACAGCTTGTGAAAAACCTATATAAAATATCTCATATAATTAGAATTTTTTTAGAATTTGCCTTCATTAGTGCTAATTAAATCAAACAAACAAAACCATCCACGAATAAAAAATCTAGTATGGCACTCGTAGAGCTCATACCCCTCTCGTACCATAGATCTCTGGTTTGTTCCTTGTCCCATATCTGTGGTTTCCTGGAAATGTTGTAAAAACTCATAACATTTTGGGTTATTTTGCAAACAGACACACCTGGGGAAAACGGATGAAACAGATGGATAAAATACTGAATATTTTGGCATCCATGTTTTCCTCTTCTTAAAATGAGCCTATTCTGTAATAACCCCTAAACTGTACTAATTTGTAACTAACACATTAGCATGAGCAGCGACCCCCTGTTAATTTGTTTTGAAGGGCATGCCAGGTGGATTTGATTCAGCAAAGATAAAATTATCCTTTTAAGTCAGTCTTTGGCCTGTCAAACCTTTAAATAATTGATTTTGGCATCAGTCACAGATAACCCGTATTTTTCAATCTTTACGGATCACTTTGAACTATTTAAATGCCACACAGAAACTAAAATTAAAATCAGCAAATATCTGATTGTAGTAAAAACAAAATGTAGTGTCATCCAGTGTGCAGCTGGATGACAACTGTCCAGACCACACTCGCTGCACAGGTGGCTTCCTGAATCTCAAAGTCTACACAATATTTCCCCTTTAAAGCAGACATTTTTTGCATTATTTTTGGCCCTTAGAAATGTATAATTATGTTTTGAATGTGGATTAATAGCTAGTAGTAAATGTATGATTAAACGTGCTATCTGCCTGTAACTCCCTATCCTACCACCAGAGGGAGAAGTAGATTTTTTGTTTTTATGTAATTGTACAAATATTTTCACTTACCAAATATCAAAACTAACTTAGGGGTTGTACTATTGTTTTTAAAAGTGTGATGTTAAAGTGGTGCAATGACATCATACTATTACCAGACAAAGACAAGGCAAAAAAAAAGTTCCTGATAGTAGCGTGGATGGATCTAAAACCAAGTCCAGGTCTCTTTGTGACGAGGGAGCAAAGTTGTAACTAGTCAAAAGTTCAAACAAGTGGATTTAGCACAATATTTCTCAGATTTAAATATAGAGATATGTCATAGTTTAACTGATAAAATACATGTCTCTCACTCTGTCCGTCTGGTGTCTTCCACAGGGCGATAAACGTGTTCATCAGCGCAAACCGGCTCATCCACCAAACCAACCTCATACTGCAGACCTTCAAAACTGTGGCCTAGCGCAGAGAGGCGCCCGCCGAGTCCGCGAGCCTGGAGACCCGCAGCCTGACCCGTATATGTAAATTAGACAGAGTTGTTTTTAGGGTTGGGGGTTGGATTCCGCTGGGATTGTAGATCGCAGTTCACGAGACTGAAAAGTGCCATTTGTGATTTCAATGAGGATTTTCCAGTCTTGAAACAGGAACTGAACGGGCCCAAAGTCTGGTTAATTGATTTTATTTGGACAGTTTTAATTTATAATCCTGGTCTGGTTGGGAGTAGGTGACGCGAGGTGTTTATTAAAGACTAATAATTGCCATTTTTCTAATATATTCATGTTGATCAATTTACTTTTAGCTTCAATCATGTTTTTTTTTCACACCTGTTGCAAAGAGGTGCGTTGTATCTGTTTTTTTGTTTCTCTTGTCGCCTCCTGCTCACTTACTACTACAGGAATCATTGGAAAAACAGGCCTTTGAAATACAGCAACGATTCCCCCTCGGCTGTGAAGAGCTCGCACAGACGGACTTTCTTGACCAAGCTCTTTTTGTTTGTTTATCAGAAGACACAAAGCCAAATGACTTCCAGCACAAGCGTGCGCCTTACCGAGTCCCGTAACATTCCCTCTGCAGAGTGTGCTGAAGCCAGTCCCTGTGGGCCGTAGGGAGCTAGAGACAGTCGATCCTTCTGTATTTAACTGTTACCTGGTTGCAAATGTTCAATAAATAGTTTCCAAAACGCTTTGCCTCGTGCATGTCCCCAGAGAATACACTGCCAATGTCCGCAAGAAAATGTTATTATTGACAAGCAATGGTCTAGATAGGTTTATTTCCTTATCTGACGTTTTACTATACAGTTCTGATGAGTTACTTTAAAGGCACACCGCGGACTTTGTGACCTAAAGAGTTGACACATATGAGTTATTTTATATGAATACTTGGGCCAATATACAGCGCTTGACACTTGCAATGCTCCGAGCGGGGCTGCCCTCTTGAAATACCGCCCATGTAAGTTTAGAGCAGACGGACCGTCTGCCACCAGGTCACGTGACTTGGAAGAAAGACTTGCTTTACGGCTACAGGCGCTGATATACTCATGGAGCTAAGGCTTTTGCTACTCATTTTTCACCTGCTCGACTCCTGGTCATGGCTGAGGCAAGGAAAAATTTTAAACCTTCGGAGGAGGCTTAAAAAGAGGAAACGCTAAGGGATCGTGCTGTAAGCTGCATGTCTGTTCTGAGCGCTGCGCTTCACCGGTTCCTGGATGTCATCGACTGCAAAGATGTCATTCCACGCAGCACGAGCTAGACGCAGAACTCCCTCATCCAGGATATAGAAGTCCATGTGTGGTAGATTACTAAGGCAGCGGTCTGGAGGCTGACCACAGCAGAGTCCCTCCTCAATATCTGTAGGCATGTCTCTACAGTTTGAACACACACACCAGTGCATGCTGTCTGAATACACACTCAAAAGACACCGGCTGACTGTTTGTTGACTTTTGCGACAGTGCTGAGTTGCTTGTGGCCACTAGGGGCGCTAAACGTGAAAGTTGCAGGTCTAGCGCCCCTAGTGGCCAAGAGTTACACGGTGTGCCTTTAACTTTAGTAAGTAACTGAAAAAACAAAGGAAGATTGCTCACCCATAATTTGTACTTCATTTAGCAAGTTTCCCGACGTCTCATTCTCCATCTGAAGAAAGTTTTCAAGGAAATGAACGCCCAGCCGCTCCTTGAGAAAGATATTTGGATTGAGAATGAAACATCGGAAAACCGGCTCAGTCATACAGGAATAATCCCTGTTGCACAAATTAATATAAGTTTAGCATAAATTTAAACCATATTGTTAAGTTTTCAAACTGCATAGTTCTTGCTTCAAATGGGTGTCAGGACATCTTAAAACAATAACAAAAAATAATAAAAATCTAGCTTCTAAAGTTCTCAAACTACTGAATTTTAGGAACTAAATTCTGAAAAGCATGAAGTATTGTGGAATTGTACAGTTGAGAGATGACCCTTCCTCCCTCTCATCATTAGTTATGGGTGAAACCATATATTGTCTAACTTTCGGGTTCTTGGGACATCTCAAAGGTGGAGTTCATGCAAGGCGGCCCAGGAATTTACAGGAAAGAAGTATGTGCAGCTTCATCATCAGAGGATAAAAAACCTCATCCACAACGCAAGACTTGCAAATTTGTTTACGGGGTGATCCCAAGCTCCCAGTCTCCAAGCCCTCACAGATCAACAGCCTGTGCTCATTGGCTCATGCTCTCACCATGTATGTCCCAAACCATGTGCTCTGGTCAGCTCTGGTTCTGCAGGTCTTGTAGGTGTGCAGTGGTTCTACTTCTGCAGGACCAGAGTAACTGCGAGTGTTCTGACCGAGACTGTGGCCGATGGATGGCGCTTGCTCTTGTTGCTCTCATGTTTGTGCAGAGAGGGACATTTGATCGTTCTGACCAATCAGAGCAGAGCTAGAGCGGGACAAGAAAACCGATGAATGTCAAAAGAAAAAAAGTTCAGGATGACAAGGTACACTAAAATCTTCACAAAATCTGCCCTTTGCAAAACTTGCTCTAGTTTCTTTGTCGGCTGACGTTGAGTTAGTTATCTTGGAGGTGTTTGGGGAAAATCTCCTAAAATTTGTGTTAATTTAAGCAGCAGTGTTGCAAGCGGCCCCTTGTCCATGTCTGAGACTGATTTAAGCCATGGATCTATTATCATATCGGGCGTTAAGCTAGCAACACCCTATTCAGATGATATAATACATTATCGGCAATACACAGCTTTCAGAAACGAGGACTGGAGACTTTTGATCAGGGTCAGAAGAGGATTTTCTGTTCTTATCGTTTTAAAATAGAAAACAGGTTGATTCGTAAATGGCTTTACACAACCACCAACAAACTGAAGTGAGTGAATAATCTTCAAAGTATGACCCTTTTAAAAAATAAATCCCCCTGGGTGTGTATAAGCAGAAGGCAATTCATCCTCTACATTTAACCCTTACCGTGGTCCAGCGCTCGGGAACCCATCTCCAGATGTTGACGCTCTGCTTTGTCAGGACCAGAGCTGGAGGATTCCACCTATTGTACATGTTTTTAGTGGTAGGGGAAACTGGAGCAACCAAATGGAACGCATGCATGGGGAGAACATGCAAAGCTCCACTCAGACCTTGTTCCGATCGGTATTCGAACCCAGGACCTTCTTGCTGAGAAGCGAGAGGATATTATGTTATGGTTAAAGACCCAAAATCACGAAACCACTGCATTCTGTCTTCATGGGTCGTTGGCAAAATGTTACACTTTTTTTTTACTTTTACAAGATTCTACTGTTGGAACAAACAATGTTTATTATTATCATTTTATTTTTCTAGGTTGTGTACCACATCAGACTTTTAATATGGTTGATTCAGGAGGTGTCCTTTTCCTGTTGTCATTTATTGTATTTTAGAAGCCACTATTGTTTCATTCACTGTTCTCCCTACAAGTGAAGGCAAACCTCAGGGAGAAAAAACACTTAAAGCTGATTATTTCTCCCAGATTTAACATGTATCCAAAGATGCTGATACAGTTTTAAGTGTGAGCTTGAGGTGCACCGTCAGCACTGCTCCAGTCCACTCTTCATCTCCTGACTTTGGTTCCATTTCAAGTAGAATACTGCACCAACCTAAACCCAAAGAGAAAGTGCACTTTTGTGTATAATTATTACTTACTTGGATAGAATCTGTGAGAGAATCGGCCCATTTAAAGCTGGGCTACCTAACTTTAATGTTTCATAACTAAAAAGTAACCCTTGGTTGTTTATCCCGACAGAAAGAGTCTTGTGAACAAACCAGGCCACTGCATGCTGTCTTCATGGTATTAGAAAACATGATACCTATTGCCATATGAGTCACAATTTGACACTTTGGGCAGAGAGCTGATTGGCTGAGGGAGACGGTGCTCTCTTTTTAACTTTTCTCTCTGAAAAAGTTGATCTAAAGATGGGCAGGTGCTATAAATACATTTGAAAACTAGGAAATGATCCAAACTGTTGAGAGTGAAGAACTAGTAACATGGATTTTATTACGTAGTTCATTGATTTGAAAGTTAGGCACCCCAGCTTTAAACAAAACATTTTCTTAGAACACTTAGTTTATATTGAGATTTTTATAAATGTTGTGCATCATTCATTCAGTCGGTCAGTCGCACTCAGTGTAAGCCACAGTCGTCCTGGGACAGACTGGCTAGACTGAAGTGAGACCCATGCCAGTCGGTCCCATCAGACCCTCTCCAGACTCATACCAGGTCATGTGGGAGAAGTGTGTTGCCTGAGGAAACTAGCGTTTAGAGCAGTTGTCCATCTGTGAGATCTCCCATCACAGTTCTAACCAGACCCTGCACTGCTTAGCTACTGAGAGGCAGGTATTGCCATAATAACAAGTATATATTTTAGTTGTTTTAAATTAGACCATGGTCGTTGAGGATTCAAACTACAGTTGATTAATAGTGTTTAAAGCTCAGGTTCCATCACTCCACCTGAGGCGTTACCGTAGCAACATGCTGCAAATAGCAGTAAATAGCAACAGTTTACTTACAGCATTATAAAGTTACTTTTAAAGCTCCATTACACATCAAGGTGTTTAAGTTTTTAAACATGATAGAAATGTATTGTTTGTTAAAAATCTGCCTGCTCGTTGCAAACTCTTGACGTCATCCACAACTAACTATAAACACCCGCCTCCCGCGCTCGCTGGTAGGTCGGTCAAAATTCAACCGATTGTAATCGCAAACACAGGGACCAGACCCAGACGTTACATGCAGGGAAATGATGATTGAGCGAAGTGTACGGATGGCTAAGGCCAGGCTAATAAGTTATGAGAGTGTTCTGACCATAGTATAAGTGGATTAAACAGTACAATTGTATGATTTAGACTCTGTGTTGTGCCTTTAAACCGTACCACCACACTGTGTCTCATTTATTTAATATTACCTGTTAGAATATTTCATTTACTAAAAAGTAGAAGAAAAAGTGTCTAAATGACCCAG